GGAGAGAGACAGAGGTGCCCCCGTGCCCTGAATGGGTCAGCCTCCAGCATCTGTCTGTCAGTCACGCTGTCTCCTGTCTGTCTGCTCCAACACATGGTCCGTGTGGTCCTGCAGGTCCCCTAGGGGTGCGTACTGGCCTGCTCCCCGCCTCCCCCCATTGCCCTGTGGGGGCTGGGACTTGGGCAGATCAGCTCCCTGTCCCTGTAGTTGCTCTGGCAGGTGATGGGCACAGACCTGCTGAAGCTGGGCATCATGAATGCAGGAACAAGGGCATCCCCCAGGGGCCGTGGGGCTGCTGGTTCTGTCTAGGGGCCTCTCCAGGGGCTCCCACTGCAGCTGTGCCAGCCCTGGGACTTCAGGCCACGACTCCGTATACTTGGCAGGCTGGGGCGCCCAGGTCTTCAGGAGGGTGTGAAGGCAAAACCCCTCTGGCTGGCGGGGGTGCTCTGGGCACCAGGCCAGCCCCAAGGCGCTGTGGGGGTCAGAAGGGGCTCAGGGCCCCAGCCTGCAGCTAGAGGAAAGGGGATAGTGAAAACCCTGGGCCCCATCTCCTTGGCAGACCATCTCCTGGGTGGGGCCAGGGGAGGGAAGATTCCCGCCTAGTTCCCTGTAGCTGGTCAGAGGGAGCTCGATCCCCATGGAGGGGGAGGCCTGCGATGGCCGGGGGGAGGGCGGCATGTCTCTGGACTGTGCCCTGCCCCTGAGCCCTTCAGCCAACGGGAAATGTACCCAGTGCCGGTGGCAGCTCCTGCCTGTGAGGGGTGGGCTGGCCGGGGGCACAGTCCCTGCCCTCCAGCAGCTGCCGCCCCCTCCTGCGTCCTAGTATCCCCCACGCCTGTCCTCAAATGGCTCCGGCGCCTGGGCGGATCTGGCTCAGGAGCACCCTCCCCTTTTTGATTACCCCAGGGGCCCCAGCTGCTGCATTGCTGGGCTTGGGTGCAGCATTGCATGCTGGGACTTTAGCCCCTGCCAGCTGCTCTTGAACCCGGACTTCAGTCCGCTCTGGTTTGCAGCATGACCCCCCGCGAAAGTCTGTGCCAGGGCTGGGCTGTGGCCCCTGGGCCACCCCCCTCCCTGCATCCCAGAGCCCAGCATGTGCTCGGTGTAACGCCCTCCTCCCACCAGCACCCTGGCTGCGCGTCCCTGGGCACGTCTGACCTGGGCGCTCTCCCCTGGTGCTGGCAATGGCTGGAGGGGGTGCTGCCCTCTACCAGCTGTTCGTGGAGTGGAACGGCCCCTGGGAGTTGCCCAGGGAAAGCCCCAGCTGAGAGCAGAGATGGGCTGAGCTTTGCCACCCACCCTTGGGGGGGAGGCTGGGCCAGGCAGGGCTCAGTCACGGGGCCCCCCAGCCTGGGGGTAGGACGGACGTGAAATTTTTCTGCACTTAATGCCCCCTGGTGAAGCCTGGGCAGACACATGTCTGAGCCGCAGTCCCTGCCTGTAGCATCCCCGAGGGGCAGCCTGCTGTTAGAGGGGGCAGACACGGGCAGATCGAAGGCTCCAGGGAAATCCCAAGCAGAGATGGTACAGGCTGGCATGCAATCAGGTGAGAAGGGATCGGGGACAGCACTCTTACCCCACTGGCGACCCGAGATCCCCAGGCCTGGCAGCACTGCAGACTGGGAGAAGTGCCTGGCTACTCTGCAAGTCAGTGGCTGGGGAAATTAACCAGCAGGTCCCATCCTGGCAAGAGCAACTGATGGATTCCAGTGCGATTGGCAGCTGCTCGGTGCAGGACGCTGGGCTTCCTCAGGCATCCTCGTGTGTGGATCCAAGGGAGTTCTCGGTCCTTCCCCCTCACCTGCAGTATAGACATGAAATGGCCAGCGGCTAGCACTCCTGGGCCCTGAGCTGGCCACAGCACAGACATGCTGGTAATCGTGGCATCAGTAACTGTCCTTAGGGCCAGAGCAGAAGTTCTGCTCTTGCATGTCAGAAAATAGCCAGAGGACACGGGGGGCGGGCAGGGGTGTGGCTGGTTCAGTGCAACAGGGCTGTGGGCTTGAAAATGGGGATGGAGGAGGGGAGTCCAGGGGGCTACAGCCTGGGATTGAGGGCAGCAGCAGGGCTATGTAGCCAGCATTATTCAGTTTCTGCACAGGGGGCCCCTTTAGGGTATGGGTTTGCAGCCTGCCACTGAGCCAAGCCACTGCCTGGGGCTCCAGGTTGGCTCAGTCTCTGCCTCCTACAGACCCAGCTCCCCCCAGCACGGGAAGCGAAAGCTGAGGCATCTTGTCCCATCCCTGACCCTGCCGCTGGCTGCCCCACTATCTCCCCCGCCCCACCCTTGGCAGGCTCACAGCCTGGCAGGGCGGGCAGCCAGCAAGCACGATGCCAGCACGCCTGGCCCTGGTGCAGCATCTCCCAGGGTGTGCGTGTGCCCCACTAGAGGCCGCCACTGCCCCTCGCACATTGGCTTGTACACACACGCCAGCTGCCAGCTGCGGCATTCCTGGCCTTCTAGGAGTGCCCAAGAATGTGAGCTGAGCAGGGCGGGAGGCAGAAGCTGGGGCCTGCTCAGACCCTGGGCTGCTTCCTCCCTAGATCCCAGTGCAGCAAACCCCAGGGGGGCTCGGCTGAACCAGGCATGGGGCAATGTGGAAGGGGAAGCCAGAGCAGTGGCTGGCCCAGGTCCCGGTTGGGAAGGGCCTGGAGGGAGCAGGGTGTGCAGGGCAGCGGAATTCCCCCTCTGAGAAATCCCTGAGCCTGCTACTCTAGGACTCCCAGAGTCACCGGCACCTTAGGAGCTGAGGCAGTCTGGGCTGCTTAGCCTGGTCCAGGCTCTGAGCTGAGGTAGCTCCAGGGGCCCGGCCAGGCTTGTGCCTGACTGTTCCCTAGGGCTGGGGTGTAAATGTCCCCCAGCTGCCCCCCAGCCCGTTATAAACCTTTGTGACTCCCACCCCTTCCCTCCTAGCCACCCTCACTCATCCCATCCACCTCCATGCTAAAGGCAGCCTCCTGCTGGGGTGGGGGGGGGCATAAACAGCTGCCACTGCTAGTCAGAGGTGGCTGCTCTGCAGTGAGGGATGAGGTGGTCGCAGGGACAGAGCCAGCCAATGTGGCGTGTGGGGGGGGGTAAGGCTGGCAGAGGCGACTGGACCCAGCACGCAGTGCAGCCCGGCTGTGTCTGCGTCACGCCCCAGAACTGCTGCCATCTCCGTGTGTGGCTGGCACGGGGCCCCGGGGGTGGGCAGCAGGAGGGCGTCCCCTGCTGGCCGTACCAGTCACTACAGCACTGTATAGGGTGTAGCCCACAAAGCAGGCTCCCGGCCTGGGTCAGGGGGTGGGCGTGTGGGGGTGGGCGTTAACCGTTAGAAGCTGGGCGATGCTGCGTGCCGGTAGGCGGCATTGCCAGGCGCGGACTGAGCGTGTGCCGCCCTGAGCAGCCGCCTGGTGATGAGTTCGGAGACAAGTGAATGTCAGGGCGAGCAGGTAGTGATATCTTTGACTGGACCCACTTCTGCAGGGGGCAGGGCCCGGCTTTCCAGCTTTCGCCCAGCGTTGCCACAGGTAACATAGGATTCCCAGGTCTGGAGAAGAGCTGCCTTGCTCCAAACTTTCTCCCTTTTAGGGGCTGGTTCCATAAAAGATCTTCCCTCACCCACCTTGTCGCTGGGACCACTGGGCACAACAGCACCACGGGCAGAGAAGGAGCCGGGCAGGCCAGGTAACGAGATGGGTCCAGAGGGGCGGCCGGGTCCCAGGTCAGCGCAGAGCTAGCCGGGGAAGGAGCCGGGTCCCAGGTCAGCGCAGAGCTAGCCGGGGAAGGAGCCAGGCGGCCAGGCACCAGGCCCAGCTAGCCAGAGAAGGGGCCGGGTCCCAGGTCGGTGCCCAGCTAGCCGGGGAAGGAGCCGGGCGGCCGGGTCCCAGGTCGGTGCCCAGCTAGCCGGGGAAGGAGCCGGGCGGCCGGGTCCCAGGTCGGTGCCCAGCTAGCCGGGGAAGGAGCCGGGCGAGCCGGGTCCCAGGTCGGTGCCCAGCTAGCCGGGGAAGGAGCCGGGCGAGCCGGGTCCCAGGTCGGTGCCCAGCTAGCCGGGGAAGGAGCCGGGCGAGCCGGGTCCCAGGTCGGTGCCCAGCTAGCCGGGGAAGGAGCCGGGCGAGCCGGGTCCCAGGTCGGTGCCCAGCTAGCCGGGGAAGGAGCCGGGCGAGCCGGGTCCCAGGTCGGTGCCCAGCTAGCCGGGGAAGGAGCCGGGTCCCAGGTCAGCGCAGAGCTAGCCGGGGAAGGAGCCGGGTCCCAGGTCAGCGCAGAGCTAGCCGGGGAAGGAGCCAGGCGGCCAGGCACCAGGCCCAGCTAGCCAGAGAAGGGGCCGGGTCCCAGGTCGGTGCCCAGCTAGCCGGGGAAGGAGCCGGGCGGCCGGGTCCCAGGTCGGTGCCCAGCTAGCCGGGGAAGGAGCCGGGCGAGCCGGGTCCCAGGTTGGTGCCCAGCTAGCCGGGGAAGGAGCCGGGCGGCCGGGTCCCAGGTCGGTGCCCAGCTAGCCGGGGAAGGAGCCAGGTCCCAGGTCAGCGCAGAGCTAGCCGGGGAAGGAGCCAGGCGGCCAGGCACCAGGCCCAGCTAGCCAGAGAAGGGGCCGGGTCCCAGGTCGGTGCCCAGCTAGCCGAGGAAGGAGCCGGGCGGCCGGGTCCCAGGTCGGTGCCCAGCTAGCCGGGGAAGGGGCCGGGCGGCCGGGTCCCAGGTCGGTGCCCAGCTAGCCGGGGAAGGGGCCGGGCGGCCGTGTCCCAGGTCGGTGCCCAGCTAGCCGGGGAAGGGGCTAGCAGGGGGCTGGAGAGGGAAGGGTCCAGGCAGCCCAGACGGGGGCTACAGGGGCCAGGGCTGCACAGGGCGCTCTGGGGGGACCAGGATCGGTTCATGTGAATTCGCTGATGAGGGTCCGGGTCCCCCCCATCCCCCCGCTTTTGCACAGGCCGGGCAGCGCCTCCCCCCGGCACGCCAGGGGTTAACCCGCCCCCCAACCTGCCCCTCACCGCCCTGGCAGCCTCCCCAGCGGCCGGGCTCAGCGTCCTTTCATCACTTCCGTCCCCAGCCCCCGGAGCTGGCGGCGAGGCGCTGGGGCTGCGGCTGCACCGGGGGCCGCGATGGGGCTGTGACAGCGGCGGGGCCGGCCGAGGGGGGCAGCGCTCAGCACCCGGGGCCGCCTCCCCCACGCCCCGTCGGGCACCCGGAGCTGCAAGGACGGAGCGCGGGGGGGCTGCTCGCAGAGGTAAGGGGGGGCTGCTGGGACAGATGCAGGCTCTGCCCCCCCCCCACGATGGGTCCCTGCCCCTGGGGGGGCAGCCCCGCCAGGCAGCGGCTCCTCGGAGGTGATGGGGGGGGGGAGGAAGAGGATGAGGAAGGTGCTGCGGGAGGGGGGGGGCTCCTGCAGGGAGGGGAAGGGGCCAGGTGGGGGGGAGGGGGCGGTGCAGGGGGGCAGGGGGGGGGACCGTGCGCGGGGCGGCAGGAGATGATGCGGGACCCCTGCTCCCAATTCTCCGCCGGGCAGCGGGGGGGACGCTGCGGAGGATTCTCCCAGCCCCGCTCCGGTTTTTGGCGGCGCGGGGGGGTTCCCCCCCCGCTGCGGGGCCCGGCCCGGCTCTGGCCCTCGCTGCGGCTGGAGCAGAATCTGCTTTCGTGTCATCCGGGCTGGGGGCCCCCCCGGCCGGTGCTGCAGCCTGCAGGGCCCGCGCCGCATCCCCGCCTGGGCCGCTCCCTGCTCCTGGGCCGGGCTGGGGAAGGGGGCAGGGACCGGGGCTGGGGGGGGACCCGGATTTCCCCGTGGGAGAGGCACCGGCTGGGCCCATCCCCGTGGAGGCCGCTTTACCCCCGAGCTCTGTGAGCCCCAGCTGGAGTCCAGCCCCTCCACCCCCCATGCAGCCCCCACCTGGGGACCGCGCCCCGGGGGTCTGAGCGCGTGTTGGGGGAGCTCGGGGGTGTCGCACCCGCCGGTCTGAATAAACCTCCTGTCCCAGCCCAGCTGGGTTTGGCTCCAAATGTGTCGGGGACATATTTAAACCTGGCAGGAGGGTTTTTTTGGGGGGCCCCTTCTCCCACCCCCAGTGGAAGGAGCTGGCGGAGCCCAAGTGGCCCCTGGGCGCAGAAATCAGCCAGCTCCCCTGGGGCCGTTTCTTCTAGTTTTATTCTGCCTGTCAGAGTAGCACCTGCCCCCCCCCCCCCCGAGATCGAGGGCGGCCACCCTGTTGTGCCGGGTGCCCGGGCCCTGACCGAGATCCAGGGGCTGCCCCCTTGTGCTGGGCGCTGCCCAGGCCCTGACCGAGGATCAGGGGCTGCCCCATTGTGCCAGATCTGTGGAGACCGAGGAAAACGCAGTCCCTGCAATCACCACCTGAATGGGCCTAGGCAGGATTGTTCTCCCCTTTTACAGTTGGCACCGGAGGCCCAGAGGGCTTCAGTGACGGGTCCAAGGGCCCTCGGTGGCAAAGCCAGGAGTGGAACTGAACTCTCTGGTTTCCCAGCTGGGTGTCCTGTCCTAGATCAGCCTCTGAGCAGCTGCAGCCGGGCAGGAAATGTCTGGTGCCGTTATGGTGACCAGAGAGCAAATGTGAAAATTCGGGACGGGGGTGGGGGGTAATAGGAGCCTATATAAGAAAAAGACCCCAAAATCGGGACTGTCCCTATAAAATCGGGACGTCTGGTCAGCCTAGCTGCAGTGGCCCTGTGGTCCTGGGAGCGGTGCAGCCCGAGCCCTGCTTGCAGTCCGGGCTGTCTGTTACTAACCTCTCGGGGTTGCAGGCCCCTAGCAGGGGATGCATGGACCCCACTCCCCTCCCAGAGCTGGGAATAGAACCCAGGAGTCCTTGGCTAGGGCTCTCTGCTCTGGGTCGCCCCGCCTGGGGCCTTCTCTGCCCTGAAGGCCCAGCTGCTGCCGCCTGCAGAGTCCCCAGAGGCGTGAGCATGGGGCAGGGAGGGGGGCGAAGCTGGGGCCCTGCCTCCATCCCCCTGGCTGGGCTCCCTGTGGCATGATTGTGGTCTCTGCACCTACGGCCTCCGACCCATCCCCCCTCCGCTTCCTGTCGCGGCGGCTCTGCTCTCAGGTCCTGGCGGGGCTGCCGAGGCCGGCGTGCAGGGCCTGGCTCGCTGGCCTGCACCTCGTGGCCACACGCAGGGGCGTGATGAGCAGCCAGGATGCCTGGGTCCTCTGCCCGGCTGCGCCCCTGCCTCGGCGGCCTTTCCCCACCGTTCAGGCTCTTGCCTCGGTGGCCCCTCCGTGGCCCCACTCTGCGCTGGGCGTGTTACTGACGGGGGCCCGTGGCAGGGTTATCCAGCAGCCTCTGCAGACCCCCGGGCCTGGCGGGGAGTCAGAGCCAAGCTGGGGGTGCGCGGGCAGCAGCAGCGCAGTGGGACCCCCTTTTGCCAGGGGCTGCAAGGCACCCGGGGAGAGGGAGACCCTCCCCGCTTCACAGGGAGTCTGCCTCAGAGCTGGGAGCTGAACCCAGGTCTTCCAAGTCACAGCCCAGCACCGGAAACACGGGCCCGGCCAGCCTCTGGAAGATGGGGCGATGAGGTGCATGGGGCCGTACTCTCTGTGCTGTCAATGGCTCTCGGTCTGACATACCCAGGTGGGGTCTGGTCTAGCTGCCTGCAGCCTCTCCCGGCTCCTGGGACACGGTGCAGGAGATCTAGGCCAGGGTCTCCGGGAGCCGCCTCCAACCTGGGCAGGGTGCTCTGCGTGTGAGCTCAATGCCTGGGGTTCCCGGAGTAGCTCACCCCGGCTCTCTGGGCAGCTTGGAGTAGGCCACGCACGTCCCCAGGCGGGAGCTCCAGACACGGCTGACCCCTGCTGCCCACGGACACTGGACAGGAAACAGCCAAGCCCCCGGGTGCTGCCGTGTGTGGGCCCCTATCGCCCCCTGCTCTGACGGTTCTGAGGAGGCTCCTGCCATGCTGAGCCCAGCAGCGACTGTCTCAGACCCTTGGGGCCGGCCCGGAGCTCCGAGTCTCCACTGGGGCCATGCGCAGAGCTGGGTGGCCTGGTAACCTGGCTCACAGCGTGTGTTGGGGGCAGGTTGGGAGGGCCAGGCCTGGGCACACGGGTCGGTGGCTCTATGCCCTGCGCGTGCCATACGCGGTGCCCCTATCGGCAGCATGGGAACGGGACCTGTGCTGGGCGTTCCCCCCCCTGCAGGCCTGGAGCAGGCCGGCTACAAGCAAGCAGCTGCCCATGTACTGGCGTGGGAGGAGGCCCAGCGAGCCAGACAGGAGGTGGCTGAGCCCTGCCTCGGGGGTCTCACAGCCACACGTGTCCTGGGGCTGCATAGCTGAGCTGTGTCCTGGCCGGGCAGGAGCCGCTCACCCTGCTGGGCTCCCAGGGAGCAGCTCCCACAGCCTGGGCTGCCTCCATTCCCCATGGGCTCCATCGGGCGCAGGATCCGCGGGACTCTCCGCTGGCGTGTGGGAAGGGGGTGCCTACACCCAATCCAGGGGTGCATCTAGGGACTTTCTAGAGCAACTGCTGAGCGGTGGGAGGCAGGGCTGGGGTAGCAGGGGGCTGCAGGTCGGGAGTGAGGAGCATGGACACAGGTCTGTGTGCGGTGGGGGGGCATCACAGGTTGGCACTGGGGGCTCCTGCCCTATTCCTGGCTGGTCAGTTTGACTTGAACACAATCACCCCCAATCCTCTCCCCTCCCCCAGCCCCCGGGAGGGGGTAGTCGGGGAGCCACAGAAGCTGCCAGCACTGGGTCCAGGAGCTGCAGGGTGGGAAAGGGGGTCTCTGGCTCTCCTGATGTGTTTTTCTCCCCCTTCCCCTTGGTGCAGGGTCTCCCATGGGCCTGACTAGCCGGACGTGGATGCCATGGAGCTGTGTGCAAAAAAACACCCCCCAGGTAAGGGGTCCTGCGGGGGGCGGGTCTGTGTAATGAAGAGTGTCACATTTTCCTTCGGCAATTCCCACCCACCGCGGGAGCGGAGTTGCTTTAAATATTTAAATAAGGCTAAAGTCATGGGGGGGGTTAATTTGGGGGCAGTGACGAGTTTTGGGGCCAATGAGGTTGGACGTACACTGCAGAAATTGCCTCTCTTCTCCCCCCTTGCCCTGGGCCTGCAGCTTGGGTTCGGGGTTCCTGTATGACTGGGGGGGTTGGAGAGCTGGGGGCGCTTGTACATCCCTTGGGGCGCAGAGTTCCCACCCCCTTAATCTCTGGGGAAGGGGGGCAGAGCAGAGCTCCTGCACTCCAGAGCTCTGACCTGAAACCAGATCCAGACTGAGAGGCTTCTGCAGAGCTGCGGGGGCTGTGGGTCAGGATTGGGGGGGCCTGGCAGAGCTGGAGGGATTGGGGGGGTCTGGCAGAGCTGGGGAGCTACGGGGGGGGGCCGTTAGGGAAGCTTCCATCTCGCTCCCAGGCCCCCCCCCGGAACCTCACAGCCGGGCACATGTCTGCTTGGGGGGGGATATGGGGGGCTCTGGGGCGGGCTCAGTGCAGCGGTTGCCCCGGCAACACCGTCCCGGCCCCAGTGGCTGGTGCGTGGTGGGGGTGAGCCCGGCAGAGCCCCTCCCAAGGGGGCATCCCAGGCAGGGGAGTGGGGATGGCCCGGCTAGGACGGGCGCAGGAGCTGCAGAGCATGGAGCTCCCCCGGAGCCATGACCGGCCCCAGGGAGATGCTGGAGAAATAGTCGGGGGCCAGCGGGAGCTGAGGGGCAGGTGCCTGCAGCAGGGGGGAGGGAGGGCTGCATGGGGGGCTCGGCCGGAGGGGCAGGTGCCTGCGGTGGGGGTCTGCATGGGGAGTGGGCTGGGGGTGCAGGTGTCTGCAGGGGTGGGGAGCTGGGCTGGTGGGGGGGCAGGTGCCTGCAACGGGGGGCGGGGCTGGCAGCGTTGGGGGACGGGCTTGCAGTTCCGCGTGCAGTGGGGCTGGGAGGAGCTGGGGGGGCTCAGGCTCTGCCAGTGGGGCTGCGGAGCTGGCCGGGCGGCAGCTCCTGGGGGCTGGGTCTCCATGCACCAGCCCCTCGGGCGGGACCAGCTGCAGCTCCTTCCTGGGGTGGGGGGGCGGCTTGCCCCAGGGTTCACCCGAGTCCCTGCGTGACCTTGGAGGGCTTGGCCCCGGCTCCCAGGAAGTGGAGTGCAGGGCAGGGGGGCTGGAGGCCAGGGGTGACTTCCAGTGTGAATGGAGAGGAGGGGGCTTAATGGTGCATCCTCCCAGAGACAGCCCCAGGGGACGGGGTACAGGGCAGGGCTGCAGTGTGCACCCCGCTTTGGCTCCTGCCTCTTCCTCAGCACAGGGGCCTGTGTAACCAGCGGCTCCGAGTGAGGGCGGCCAGCCCCCCAAACTCCCCCAAGGTTGGGCTAGCAGGGGCTGCAGGTCGGGAGTGAGGGCACCGGCAGAACTGGTGGGGGGAGTGGGCCCGTGTCCCATCAAGGTTATCCTGTACCCAGAGCGTTGGCTATGGGCTGGGGTAGTGGCCCGGGCGGGGTGGGGGGCATGTGCCAGGGCTCCGTCGGGCTCCCTCTGACCCGGGTTCTGTTGCAGAGGAAGAAAGGCGGGTGAAGGCCAACGCCCGAGAGTACAACGAGAAGTTCCAGTATGCGGTGAGTGCCCCGGTGCCCACAGGGGGTGTATGCAGCTGCCCCCCACCTTGCAGGGCCCGGCTAGTATGGGCAGGGGGGCTGCCGGGCAGGGCAGCTGGGCAGGACTCATGGGGTGGGGGTTAGGGAGGTGGAGGGGCCCACCCCAAAGGTTTCTCCCCATCTGTCCCCGAACCCCTGCTCTCCTCTCCTGAGCAGGGCCCCGGCAGAGGTGGGCTCTGGCTTGAGGTCTCTGCATGGGGCTGGGGGAGGAGGGCCCAGCCTGGGAAATGCGGGGTTGGGGGGGTGGCTCTGTTGGCCCTGGGGGATGGGGGGCCTGCAGTGCTGGGGGGATCGTGGTTCTGGGTTGCGGGTCACAGACCTCATCTGACTCCTCTGGGGGTCGGGGGTGGGAGCTAAAAATGGGTTTTGTCCATGAGAAAATTCTGCTGCTGAGCGTCTATTAATAACGCCGGGCTGGGACGTCCCAGCTGAGCGGGCCGAGGATGGGGCCCTGCTCCTGCACCGCAAACCCTCCCATCCCCCGGCTTCTGGAGGTCCCAGGGGAGCCCCCACCAGCTCCTTCAGCCAGCACGCGGTGGGGGGAAGGGAGCAGCTCACCTTGGCCTCCCCCTTTTTGCTGTGGGAGGGGGCAGGGAAAGGTTACTAGTAGCTGCTCCCCGGGCCCAGCCTCTGTGCTATTTCAGGGCAGCTGGACCTGGGGGCCGGGCTGCTGCTCGGGGCCTGGTCTGGGAGTGTCTGGCATTGGGAGATGGTGGTGCCCTGCCTGGCAAGCTGCCACGGGGGGGCCAGCATCACTTCCCAAGATGCTGGTGTCACGGAGTCCCCGGGCGATGCTCTGGACCTGCTCCCTACAAAGCCAGGCAGGACTCTGGGGAAGTCTCCTCTCGGGGAGCAGCCTCTCTGCAGGACACACAGCTCACCCGGCTCCACCTTCCTGGGTCTGACCTCCGAGCGTTCAGCATCCTCTGCCCCTCCGTGCGCTTCCCACAGCCAGTCCGCCCAGGCCGGGTCCTGGGGGGGCCAGAGGGTCCTGCCCCCCAACTCCGCAGTCAGACGTGACTCTCAGCGAGCCAGTAACACAGAGGGTTTATTAGACGACAGGAACATGGTCTAACACAGAGCTTGCAGGTGCAGAGAACAGGACCCCTCAGCTGGATCCATTTTGGGGGGCAGTGAGCCAGACAACCCTGTCTGCCCTTCACTCCATGTCCCCAGCCAGACCCAAAACTGAAACTCTCTCCAGCCCCTCCTCCTCTGGGCTTTCCCCTTTCTCGGGGCCAGGAGGTCACCGGATCCCTTTGTTCTCCAACCCTTTAGCTCTCACCTTGCAGAGGGGAAGGGCCCAGGCCATCAGTGGCCAGGAAACAGGGTGTCGGCCAGTCTCTGTCTCCAGACCCCTGCACACACCTACCCTCTAGGGCTCTGCAAGGATCATACACCCTTATCCCACCCCCTAGATACCTAAGAACTGCCTAGGGGAAACTGAGGCACCCCCACACTATTCAGAGGAAACATTAAAAACAGTCCCGCTTCATCACAGCTGGTTCTGCTTGTTTGCCCCGTTCTCCCTCCTGGGACTCTCAACACCGCCCCCCACCCCCCGTGTACAGGGGGGTAAACAGAGGCTGAGAGAGGGCCGGGACATGCCAAGGCGGCCCTGCGAGTCAGAGCTGGGACCAGAACCCAGGAGTCCAGGCTGCCAGCTCAGACAGTGGTTTTCCTCCTCTCTGAGCCTTGGGGCGTGTGGAATCTTGGAGAGCTGGGGGCGGGGGTGGGGGGAGATTCTTAGGGGGTCCCCATGGCTGGGGTTGGGCGCTTCAGGATGGAGCCTGTGGTCCGTGTCTCTCCTAATCCTGCCCATCTCACCCCCAGAGTAACTGTATCCAGACCTCCAAGTACAATATCATCACCTTCCTGCCCGTCAACCTCTTCGAGCAGTTCCAGGAAGTGGCCAACACCTATTTCCTCTTTCTCCTCATCCTGCAGGTGGGGGGACATGGTCCCGCCCTGGGGTACCATACAGTGGCTGGTGGGTGGGCGTCCCATGGGGAGGGGAAGGGATAGGCCCCTGTGTGGAGCCCTGCTGGGGATCCCTGCCTAGACTTGGGGGGGGGATCCAGTGCCTTCTGCATGCAGCATCCCACCCTGCATGGGTGCCCTCTGGGGTGCCCGGGGCGGCGAAGGTGGGGTGCCTTTTGTGTTTAACCCCAGCCCCCTCTCTCCAGCTGATTCCCCAGATCTCCTCGCTCTCCTGGTTCACCACCATCGTGCCTTTGGTTCTCGTCTTAACCATCACAGCTGTCAAAGATGCCACTGACGACTACGTGAGTGCCCCCGGGGTGGGGGGGCGGGTGCTGGGGGGGAGCAGTGTTCCCTCCAGCGGCCCCTGGGCATGGGGAGGTGGAGCTGGTTCCGCTGTCCAGTGTGTGGTCAGGATGGAGCGGGGCGCTGCTCGGGCTCTGCCAAGCCCAGCTGCTGTCCCCCACCCCACTCCTGGCAAGGCCCAGGCTCGGCAGCCCGTGTTGGGGGCAGGTGGGGGATGGAGCCCCTCCTGGGATCCCCTGACCAAGGTTTCTGCCTTCCCCCTCCAGTTCCGCCACAAGAGCGACAACCAGGTGAACAATCGCCAATCTCAGGTGCTGATCAACGGAACGTAAGTGTCCCGGGGCCCCGGCCTGGAGGAGCCCCTGGGGGGCCAGAGGGAGGCAGGTTCCCCAGCTGGAGATGGACTGTCTCCCCCCCCCAGCATCCGGCACAGAAGTCCCATGGGAGAGGGGCTGGGGGGAGCAGGCCACCTCTGAAGAAGGGGTGGGGGGGGGTTCAGGGCCGCTGCTCTCGTGGGCTCGGGCAGGGAAAGGCCTTGGAGCCAGGGCACGGCTGAGATAACGGTGGGAGGGGGACTCCCTGGCCCCCCTGACTCTGCTCCTTGCGCCCCACAGCCTCCAGCAGGAGCAGTGGATGAATGTGTGCGTCGGAGACATCATCAAGCTGGAGAACAACCAGTTTGTGGCGGTGAGTCTGGCTTCCAGGTGGGGGGCAGGAGCCTGGGGGCGAGAGGTCCTCCCCCCGGGGATGTGCTGGCTCCCACAGCCTTGGCGAGGGGGCGCTCTGGGCAGCCGGAGGCCGGCTGGCGTGTCTGGGTCTCGGAGCCCACGTCTCCCCCAGTGGCAGGGATATGGAGCATTGGGGTTGGGGGGTGGCAGGGACCCCAATGGCAGCTCAGCCCTGGCCGTTCCTCTCCCCTGGCAGGCTGACCTCCTGCTCCTCTCCAGCAGCGAGCCCCATGGACTGTGCTACATAGAGACGGCCGAGCTCGACGGGTGAGTGACCTCGCCTCTCCTTCGCCCTGCCAGCCACGCGCATTCCCCCCACGGGGCTAAGGGGGCGGGACCGCCAGCCTCTCGGGGAGTGGGGGCAGGGGAGTAAGGTGAGGGCACCCCCAGCATGGATGCTGCGCCCATCAGCATGGCGGTTCAGAACCAGCAGGATCTGCAAGCCAGGGGCAGTTTGGGGCTGGGGCTGTGGGGTGGGGGGCTGGGGTGGGGGCAGGGTAGTTGCTCAGTTTGACAATCTGGGCTGAGTGCAGCCCTGAGGTGCCAGGGGAGACCTGGACTTTCGATCCCTTGTAGACTCCTCAAGGCCCCCACTGAGATGGGGGCATCCTGCCAGGTGCCGCTGTCATGGACCCACAGGGCGGGCCCTAGGCCCCAGCCCTGGCTATGCCCCAAGGGGTCCCATTCTTCCTTCAGGCTAGGCCCTGCGGCTGCAGCACCTCCCAGACCGAGCCTCTGGGTGCAGCCCTCCTGCTTCGCCCCGTCAGCTCTGCGCAGCGAGTCTGACTGAGCCCGACGCCCACGGCCCCTGCGGGCTCCAGGCATCCCTGGGGTTGGCAGGGCACCCGGCAGCGTTCTCAGAGCCCCGGAGCCCAGTGTGGGGAGTCCGGAGACTCGCCCACAGAATAAAGGTTACGTCATCGGTTGGCCTGACCCACGTCCCACCCAGCCAGGTGCTGTGGGCTCCATTCCTGGCTCAGGCTCTCCAGCTCTGTCAGGCACCGCTGAGAGCTGTCTCCCCCCGGAGCCTGCCCTTATCCCAGCTCCCGCAGGCCCGGCTGAATTCAGGAGCGTCACTTGCTCGGTCTTTGCGGCCCCTCCGTCCCCGTGCGGGGTTTGAGCCAGGACCCAGCCAGGCCGTGCTGCCCAGTTTTGTGACCCAGCTCCGCCCTGGAGAAGTTCGTTGCCCCGTTGGCACCCGCGGGCTGGTAGCGCCAAGCCCAGTGAGTTGCGGCCCGGCGCGTCAGTCTCACAAGTATTACAGGCCTTTCCTGCGCGGGCACGGCCGCTGGCCAGGACGGGGGCATCGCATCGGGCACTGCACAGATGCAGCGGGGGCATGAGACAGGCCCAGGCTAGGCAGGGAGTGGGGCCAGAGCTGGGACCAGAACCCAGGTGTCCAGGCCCCTGTTCTGTGCCCTCGCCCCGGCCCACGCTGCCTCTCCTTCCAGAGAGACCAACATGAAAGTGCGCCAGGCCATTCCTGTCACCTCGGAGCTGGGGGACATCCGCAAGCTGGCCCAGTTTGATGGTGAGTGCGGGGGTCGGGGCGGCTCTGCACCCTCAGCCTTTCTGTCTCTGCATTCTCATGACGTGCTGGGGGGGGTGACGCTTCTGGGGGTTACCTGAGGCGTTTGGGGTGAATTCCTACCCCCTGCTCACAGCGGGAGGGAGCCCTGTCTGTGCCCACCAGGGGAAATGCTCCTCAGCCACCAGCTGCTGGCCACACAGGTGCTCCACTCCGGGAGCCCTGCCCTTTCCCAATGCAGGCCAGCGGTTTACCCAGCCCACTTGGGTACGCTCAAGTGCCCCATCCCCAGCTGCCAGCACCCCCAGGGGCACCGACTCGCTGCCTCCGGGGAAGCAGGGCACCCAGGTCACGGGTTCCCCCCAGTTCAACACTCTCCTTAGCACGAGGCACTTTGGCAGGTTTAGAGTAAAACCAACCTGGCGTTGGCTGAACAGAGCTCGAGGGAGAGATTCCGACATAAGCCAGCCTAAGGATCTGGAAACGTTAAGGCTACCGGTAAAAGGAACGTAAGACGCAGTTTATAGCCTGGACTTAGTAACCAGTGACTTTCCTGGCTCATTCGGTATTTCTCACCCACAGCCTGGTCCCTGCAGCGCGTGTCCCGTCCGGAGAGTAGGGAGCCATTTGTCATGAGCCGGACCCTGCTGGCGGAGTCCCTGTCACGGGTCACCTCTGGGGCCGGTTCTGCTCCGACACAGGCTTTGAGCCCAGCGGCTCCGCTGCCAAGAGCGCTCGGGGTTTGTTTGTCCCGTAGGTCTCCAGCTGGGAAACACAGGCTGTCTGGCAGCTGCCCTTCGTCTCAGCCTGGCTGGGGCAGCTCCCTGCCTCCCCCTCACGGCAGCACACGGGAACCAGGCCAGTGCCCACCCCCTGGGGCGAAGTGCTGAGGAGAGGGTCAGACCCGGGGTGATAGACCTGCCTGCTCCTGCCCCGGTGTGTCTGTGTCACCGGGGTGGCTCATCCCTGGATCCAGCTCTGCTCCTGCCCCGCTCTCTCCAGCGCCCCCTGCTGGGGGGGGGGGGGCGGGGATGTCTGAAGGAAGCTCTCAGCCCCGTCTGAATGCCAGCCCCTGCACCCAGGTTGCCCGAAGTCTGTGGGGCTGGGGCTGTGCCAGGAGCACTGGGATCGGAGCTGGGCTCCGGTGTCCAGCGCTGGGCTGAGGGGTACCAGGCTGCTGGCTCTCTCCCCAGGTGAGGTGATCTGCGAGCCCCCCAACAACAAACTGGACAAGTTCAGCGGGACCCTGTACTGGAAGGAGAACAAATACCCGCTGAGCAACCAGCACATGCTGCTGCGAGGCTGCGTGCTGCGTAACACCGAGTGGTGCTTCGGCCTCGTCGTCTTCGCAGGTGGGGGCGCGGGGCCGCCACAGCCCGGGGCCCGTCCCCTCATCCCCACGGCCCGCTCTGCCGTGGAGTCAGCCCTCCCATGGAGGGGGCTGTTCCCGGCCACATGGCCGACCAGGTGTCGGGCAGAGCTTCAGCGGGGTCCCCCTGCATTGGCCGGTGGGAGTCCCGGGGGGCACTGGGGTGGGAGCCAGGGGGCGCCCAGTGACGTGTTTCCCACCCCCCAGGTCCTGACACCAAGCTGATGCAGAACAGCGGGCGGACCAAGTTCAAGAGGACAAGCATCGACCGGCTGATGAACACGCTGGTGCTCTGGGTGCGAGTGAGATGGGGGCTGTGGGAAGGAGACGCCCCGGGCGGGTGGAAGATCTCCCGTGTGCTGGTTCTGTTACCCCGTCTCGGCTACAGCCCGCCACCCCCCACGCACGGCCCTCCGGGCTGGCCCCGGATCGCTCCCTTCCGGGCGCAAAGAGCAGGGCTGCCCCCTAGTGGTGCTGAGGCACCAGGACATGACGTTCCTGGAAGCTTTTAAACCTAGAAAGGCATAAAGAACTGCAGAGGCCCCACCCCCCGGGTGCACGGCCAGCCCCGATCCCGGGCTGGGGGACCTGGCCCCACCCCCCGGGTGCGCGGCCGGCCCCGATCCCGGGCTGGGCCCCGATCCCGGGCTGGGGGACCTGGCCCCACCCCCCGGGTGCGCGGCCGGCCCCGATCCCGGGCTGGGGGACCTGGCCCCACCCCCCGGGTGCGCGGCCGGCCCCGATCCCGGGCTGGGGGACCTGGCCCCATCCCCCAGGTGCGTGGCCAGCCCCAGTCGGAACGGGGTAGCAGTGCAAATCTCTCGATGAGCTCTGACCCCTGCCCTCCCTCTGGCAGATCTTCGGGTTCCTGGTGTGCATGGGGGTAATCCTGGCCATCGGCAATGCCATCTGGGAACACGAGGTGGGAGCCTGCTTCCAGATCTACCTGCCCTGGGACGAGGCGGTGGACAGTGCCTTCTTCTCCGGCTTCCTCTCCTTCTGGTCCTACATCATCATCCTCAACACCGTGGTGCCCATCTCACTCTACGTCAGGTAGGCAGCACCTGGAGAGCAGGAGCCGGCAGCAGTGGGGCTGGGGGCCGCTGCCGGGCTCCTGCCGTGGTGCTTCCCTGGGGTCAGGGGGCACAGTCACTTGGGGGGCAGAAGCCCAGGCCCGGTGGGGCAGCCTGGGAAGGCAGGGGAGGTGGCACATGGGAGGTGCAGGTAGAAGGCCAAGGAAAGGGGTCTGTGATTGGGGGGCTCAGGGAAAGAGGGTGCGTGTTGGGGGAATCCAGGGAGTGTGGGGTGGTGGAGATGGGGGGAGGGACAAGAGTCCAGTGTGTGTGGAGTGCCCGGGGAGGGGGTACCAGGCTGAGGGGGGATGCCTGGGGAGGAGGTACCTGGCTGTGTGTTTGGAGGGATGCGGGGGGAGGTACCGGGCTGTGTTCGAGGGAGGTGCCCAGGGAGAGGGTGTCACGGAGTCCCCGGGCGATGCTCTGGACCTGCTCCCTACGAAGCCAGGCAGGACTCTGGGGGAGTCTCCTTTCTGTGAGCAGCCTGTCTGCAGGACACACAGCTCACCCGGCTTCCACCTTCCTGGGTCTGACCTCGGAGCATTCAGCCTGTTCTGCCCCTCCGTGCGCTTCCCCCAGCGAGTCCGCCCAGGCGGGGTCTTGGGGAAGCCAGAGGGTCCTGCCCCCCAACTCCGCAGTCAGACGGGACTCTCAGCCAGCCAGTAAAACAGAGGGTTTATTAGACGACAGGAACATGGTCTAACACAGAGCTTGTAGGTACAGAGAACGGGACCCCTCAGCTGGGTTCATTTTGGGGGGCAGTGAGCCAGACAACCCCATCTGCCCTTCACTCCATGTCCCAGCCAGCCCCAAACTGAAACTCTCCCCAGCCCCTCCTCCTCTGGGCTTTGTCCCTTTCCCGGGCCAGGAGGTCACCAGATCCCTTTGTTCTCCAGCTCTTTAGCTCTCACCTTGCAGGGGGGAAGGGCCAGACCCCTGCACACACCTGCCCTCTAGGGCTCTGCAAGGATCATACACCCTTATCCCACCCCCCAGATACTTAAGAACTGCCTAGGGGAAACTGAGGCACCCCCACACTATTCAGAGGAAACATTAAGAACAGTCCCACTTCGTCACAGAGGGTGCCTGGCTGTGGGGGTGTTGGGGAGGGGGTACCTGGCTGTGTTTGGGGAGGGGGTGCTGGGGAACGGGTGCTGGGCTGTGTGTCGGTGGGGGGTACCAGGGAGAGGGTGCCGGGCTGTGTGTGTGCAGGGGGGTGCAGGGCTGTGGGGGTGTTGTGGAGGGAGTACCGGGCTCTGTGGGGGGGGATGTTGTGGAGGGGGTACCGGGCTGTGTTGGGGGGGGGGGTGCTGGGGAAGGGGTGCTGGGCTGTGTGTGGTGGGGGGGCGGGTGCTGTGCTGTGTGTGTGTGGGGGGGTGCTGGGCTCTGTGTGTGTGTCAGGGGTATTGGGGAGGGGCTGCTGTGCTGTGTGTGTTGGGGGTTACTGGGGAGGCGGTACCTGGCTGTGTTTGAGGGAGGTGCCCAGGGAGGGGGTACCTGGCTGTGTGTGTGATGGGGGTGTGCAGGGAGGGGGTGCTGGGCTGTGTGTGTGTTCGGGGTGCCGGGCTGCGTGCAGGGTGCCCGGGAAGGGCGGTGCTGGGCTGCGTGTTTGTGTGTGGGGTGCAGGGAGGGGGTGCTGGGCTGCGTGTGGGGGGAAGGGGTGCAGGGAGGGGGTGCTGGGCTGCGTGTGTGTGTGGGGTGCCCAGGGAGGGGGTGCTGGGCTGTGTGTGGGGGGAAGGGGTGCAGGGAGGGGGTGCTGGGCTATGTGTGGGGGGAAGGGGTGTAGGAAGGGGGTGCTGGGCTGTGGGGGGGGAAGGGGTGCAGGAAGGGGGTACTGGGCTGCATGTGGGGGGAAGGGGTGCAGGGAGGGGGTGCTGGGCTGTGTGTGGGGGGAAGGGGTGCAGGGAGGGGGTGCTGGGCTGCATGTGTGTGTGGGGTGCCCAGGGAGGGGGTGCCGGGCTGCGTGCGGGGTGCCCGGGAAGGGCAGTGCTGGGCTGCATGCGGGGGGAAGGGGTGCAGGGAGGGGGTGCTGGGCTGTGTGTGTGTTGGGGGTGCCGGGCTGCATGCCCGGTGTCACGGAGTCCCTGGGCGATGCTCTGGAACTGCTCCCCATGAAGCCAGTCAGGACTCTGGGGCAGTCGCCTTTCTGTGAGCAGCCTGTCTTCAGGACACACAGCTCACACAGCTTCCACCTTCCTGGGTCTGACCTCGGAGCATTCAGCATCCTCTGCCCCTCCGTGCGCTTCCCACAGCGAGTCCGCTCAGGCGGGGCTCCTGGGGAAGCCAGAGGGTCCTGCACCCCAACTCCGCAGTCAGACGTGACTCTCAGCCAGCCAGTAAAACAGAAGGTTTATTAGACGACAGGAACATGGTCGAAAACAGAGCTTGCAGGTGCAGAGAACGGGACCCCTCAGCTGGGTCCATTTTGGGGGGCAGTGAGCCAGATAACCACGTCTGCACTTCACTCCATGTCCCAGCCAGCCCCAAACTGAAAACCCCTCCAGCCCCTCCTCCTCTGGGCTTTGTTCCTTTCCCGGGCCAGGTGGTCACCTGATTCCTTTGTTCTCCAACCCTTCAGCTCTCATCTTGCAGGGGGGAAGGGCCCAGGCCATCAGTTGCCAGGAAACAGGATGTCGGCCATTCTCTGTGTCCAGACTCCTGCACACACCTGCCCTCTAGGGCTCTGCAATGATCATACACCCTTACCCCACCCCCTAGAGACTTAAGAACTGCCTAGGGGAAACTGAGGCACCCCCACACTATTCAGAGGAAACATTAAGAACAGTCCCACTTCGTCACACCCGGGAAGGGCGGTGCTGGGCTGTGTGTGTGTGTGGGGTGCAGGGAGGGGGTGCTGGGCTGCGTGTGGGGGGAAGGGGTGCAGGGAGGGGGTGCTGGGCTGCGTGTGTGTGTGGGGTGCCCAGGGAGGGGGTGCTGGGCTGCGTGTGTGTGTGGGGTGCCCAGGGAGGGGGTGCTGGGCTGTGTGTGGGGGGAAGGGGTGCAGGGAGGGGGTGCTGGGCTATGTGTGGGGGGGAAGGGGTGCTGGGTGTGTGGGGGGAAGGGGTGAGGGGTGCTGGGCTGTGGGGGGGGAAGGGGTGTAGGAAAGGGGTGCTGGGCTGTGTGTGGGGGGAAGGGGTGCAGGGAGGGGGTGCTGGGCTGTGTGTGGGGGGAAGGGGTGCAGGGAGGGGGTGCTGGGCTGCGTGTGTGTGTGGGGTGCCCAGGGAGGGGGTGCCGGGCTGCGTGCGGGGTGCCCGGGAAGGGCGGTGCTGGGCTGCATGCGGGGGGAAGGGGTGCAGGGAGGGGGTGCTGGGCTGTGTGTGTGTTGGGGGTGCCGGGCTGCATGCGGGGTGCCCGGGAAGGGCGGTGCTGGGCTGTGTGTGTGTGTGGGGTGCAGGGAGGGGGTGCTGGGCTGCGTGTGGGGGGAAGGGGTGCAGGGAGGGGGTGCTGGGCTGCGTGTGTGGTGCAGGGAGGGGGTGCTGGGCTGCGTGTGGGGGAAGGGGTGCAGGGAGGGGGTGCTGGGCTGCGTGTGTGTGTGGGGTGCCCAGGGAGGGGGTGCCGGGCTGTGTGTGTGTTGGGGGTGCCGGGCTGCATGCGGGGTGCCCGGGAAGGGCGGTGCTGGGCTGTGTGTGTGTGTGGGGTGCAGGGAGGGGGTGCTGGGCTGCGTGTGGGGGGAAGGGGTGCAGGGAGGGGGTGCTGGGCTGCGTGTGGGGGAAGGGGTGCAGGGAGGGGGTGCTGGGCTGCGTGTGTGTGTGGGGTGCCCAGGGAGGGGGTGCCGGGCTGCGTGCGGGGTGCCCGGGAAGGGCGCTGCTGCTGCTCTCTGGTGGGGAAACACGTCGGCGTCTCCGAGGCCTAGGGCCCCCCGTGCCGTCCTGCTGGTCCCCCGGGCCTGGCTGCCGCGGCTCTGTCTGACCCAGCTGCCTGTGCCCCTCTCGCCCGGCCCCTGCCGCCCCTTCTCCCTCTCTTAATGTCTCTCTCTTTTCGTTCCCCAGCATGGTTCTGTCCCCTTAGCCCCGAGGTAAGAACGGGTCACTCCCGCCCCTCCCCTGAGCCTAGCCCCTCCGTTTCCTGCTGGGGGAGCTGGGGGGTCTTGCCGGGGCAGGGGGGAGATGGGGGCAGCTCTAGTCCATGGCTCTAGCACCGGGCCTGGCGCAGGATTCCTGGGGGTCAGCTGGTGCTGCCCCTCACTCCCACTCAAACCCCCCTTCCTCGGAGCCCCTCGGCTTGCAGCGCTTCTGCTTCTCCAGGCCAGAGACCGCGGCCAAGGGGCTGCGCTCGCCTGTGTTGGTCAATATGAGCATAGGGGGGCCCGGAAACCAATGTAAGAGGAGTTAGCATGGTCCAGAGAGTGGGCACTGGGCCGGGGAGCCAGGACTCCTGGGTTCTATCCCCCTAGAGGGGATTGGGGCCTGGTGGGTTAGTGTGTGGGGGCCGGGAGCCAGGACTCCTGGGTTTTATCCCTGGCTCTGGGAGGGGAGTGGGGTCTAGTGGTTAGAGCGGGGATGGGGGCTTGGAGCCAGGACTCCTGGGTTCTATCCCCAGCTCTGGGAGGGGGAGTTGGGTCTAGTGGTTAGAGTGGAGCTGAGGGCTGGGAGCCAGGACTCCTGGGTTCTATCCCCCAGAGGGGATTGGGGCCTGGTGGGTTAGAGTGTGGGGGCTGGGAGCCAGGACTCCTGGGTTCTCTCCCCAGCTCTACCCCAGCCCTGTGTGACTGTAGGGTAAGTGCTGACCCTGTGAAATGGCTTAGCTGATGGAAGTGCCAGGGGTGCTGCGGGGTTGGCGGCTGGCGGCAGTGAGTTGCTCCCCAGCGGGGTGCTCCCCACCCAGCCGTGCCGAGCCCTGTGCCCCCTCCCTCCCTGCGTGCAGCGTGGAAGTGATCCGCCTTGGCCACAGCTACTTCATCAACTGGGACAAGAAGATGTACTGCGCGCAGCGCCAGACGCCGGCCGAGGCCCGCACCACCACGCTCAACGAGGAGCTGGGCCAGGTGGAGTACATCTTCTCCGACAAGACCGGCACCCTCACCCAGAACATCATGATCTTCAGCAAGTGCTCCATCAACGGGCGCAGCTACGGTGAGCGGGGCCGGGGGCCAGAGCCGCGGGGGGGCCGGGGGCCAGAGCCGCGGGGGGGCCGGGGGCCAGAGCCGCGGGGAGGCCGGGGGCCAGAGGGGCTGGGGAGCAGGGCAGTGGGAGGGGGAGAGGACGTCTTTCCGTGGCCCTGGTGGTGGCTCTCCCCATCCCCAGGTCAGGCGGGGGTGGCCATGCTCCTCTGCTCCCTGGGGCACTTACTGTGGGGTGCCCCCCAGCTCCTTGGATGCTGGGACACCCCTCCTGCCAGGGCTGTCCAGGCAGCAGCTCTGGGAGGGGACCAGCCAAAGGAGCCAGTCCTGGTGCCTCTGCAGGCTCCCTGTGTCCACCTGCTCTCCGTCTGTGCCTGCTTCGGGGGTGTGGGGGAATCAGGTGGAGCTGGGTGGGGCGGGGGCAGCTGCTCGTTCTGTCGGGCGGCTCTGTCTTGGGGACAGCGTGGCTCCTGTGGGGCGGGGGGCTCCCAGCATCCCCCCCCAGCGATGCTGCGCTGGCTGGTGTCCCCACATTAACCCTTTGCCCTCTGCATTTGCAGGTGACATGCTGGATGTGCTGGGGCACAAGGCGGAGCTGGGGGAGGTAGGAGCTGCCCCATCCCTTGCGGGGAGGTGACTGAGATGGTCAGAGAGTCCCAGGGAGGGGGGCTCCATAGGGGGCTTGGGGTGCAGATCCCGGGCACTGGGGGTGGTCTCTGCATTTCAAGGGGGAGCCCTGCCCTCCAGGCCTCTCCGTGTTGTGGGGGGCAGGCTCTGGCGTGCCCCTGTCCATGGCAGCGGGGGCCGGACGGGGGGGTAACTCTCTCCCCCTCCCTAGAGGAGGGAGCCGGTCGACTTCTCCTTCAACCCGCTGGCCGACCCGCGGTTCCGGTTCTGGGACGCCAGCCTGCTGCAGGCCGTCCAGCTCGGCAACCCCCACGTGCACGAGTTCTTCCGGTTGCTCTCGCTCTGCCACACCGTCATGTCCGAGGAGAAGAGCGAAGGTGGGTGGGCCACCCGGGGGCTTTGGTCGGGGGGGAGCTCAGGCAGTCCCCTGGGGAGGGCTCCATCCGGGGGTGTGGGAAGGGGGCTTGGGGCGTCCCCTGGGGTGGGCTCGGGCCAGCGGGGGGCTCGGGTTGTCCCCCTGGGGTGGGCTCTGGCTTTGAGGGGCTGGGGGGCTTGGGCCGTCTCCCCTTGGGGTGCAGTGGGTGCAGAGGGGCTCGGCCTGTCTCCCGTGTGGGGTGTTGCTGGTGGAGGCCGAGCACTGACACCCCCCCCCCCCCGCTGTGCCCCCCAGGTGAGCTGTACTACAAGGCGCAGTCCCCGGACGAGGGGGCGCTGGTCACGGCCGCCAGGAACTTCAGCTTCGTCTTCCGCTCGCGTACGCCCAAGACCATCACGGTGCAGGAGCTGGGCCGGGCCGTCACCTACCAGCTGCTGGCCATCCTGGACTTCAACAACGTCCGCAAGCGCATGTCCGTCATCGGTGAGCCGGGCGGGCTGGGCACAGAGGGGTGGCAGCGGGTGGTGGCAATTGTGGGGGGTGGGGAATGGGGCAGGCTTGGGGGAGATCCTGTGAACAGTGGGGTGGAGGACGGCAGGGGCAGGGTCCCATGGGGACTGGCAGTGTGTGTGCCTGGGGGTCACAGGGGGATCAGCCTCAGGGACTGGGAGCAGGGGTTGTGGAGGGGACCTTCGGCTCCCTAGGATTTGCCAGCCTGAGGCTGCTGGTCCTCAAGCTCCCACTGCCCCATGGGCTGGGGGTCCAGCCGCCGAGCGTGCCATGCCCCACACAGTGAGCAGGGTGGGACTGGGGAACACGGGGGGGCTTGGGGAGGTGCAGGATCACTGACCCCTCTCCCCTCCCTCGGCACCAGGGGCCTGACCTTTGCCGTCTGCCCACGGAGGGAGAGCACGTTGACCTGGCTGGGCCCAGGCAGCGCTGGGCTCGGGGGTTGTTCCCCTTGGCGCACCGGGGTCTCTGGCCGCTCTGGTCCCTGCATGTCCCAGCAGTCCCTTGCTCCCCCTGCAGTGCGGAGCCCCGAGGGCCGGATCCGTCTGTACTGCAAAGGGGCTGACACCATCCTCCTGGAGAGGCTGCACCCAGCCCACCACGAGCTGCTGAACGTAACCACCGACCATCTGAATGTGAGTGGGAGTCCCGAGCGCGGGCTGCAGCTGGCCCTCCGGGGGCCAGGGGCCCTGATCCTTCGGGGACTGGGTGGATCACAGGGCAGCCTCGAATCGACCCGGGGTCCTGGGTGCCGCCGTGGGGCGCGTCGACCTGGAACTCCACTGCCAGCCTCTGCCCCCCAGGGCTGGCTGGGGGGGACCCATCCTCGCTGCGCTGGGATTGGCCTGGCCCCCGTCTGGGTTGGGAGCTGACGCAGCCACTGCCCTGCAGGAGTACGCCGGCGAGGGGCTGCGGACACTGGTGCTGGCCTACAAGGACCTGGAGGACGGCTACTACAAGGACTGGGCCGAGCAGCTGCTGCGAGCCGGCACTGCCCCTGACGGCCGCGAGGACCGGCTGGCCCGGCTGTACGAGGAGGTGGAGCGGGACATGACGGTAGGTGGGCTGGGGGCGCCTCCTGAGGGGCAGGCTGGGGCCATGGCGCAAGGCGGTGCCCCAGAATCACTGCTGTGTCTCCTCTCTCTGCCCAGCTGCTGGGGGCTACCGCCATTGAGGACAAACTGCAGCAGGGAGTCCCCGAAACCATTGCCATCCTAACGCTGGCCAACATCAAGATCTGGGTGCTGACCGGGGACAAGCAAGGTGAGGCTGGCTCTGCGCCAGGGGCTGGGTGGAGGGGAGCCGTTCTGGGCTGGCACCAGGCTCAGGCAGAGCACTCAGCCCCTCTGTCCTGGGGGCAGGACCCCCGTAGGCATCTGATGGCCAGCAGTGTAGGGAATCCTCCTGCAAGGAACCTTGGGGCGCAAAGCCCTGGTGCCCCAGGGTCATGGGGGGGGGTGATGGAGACTGGGGTGACACAGAGGGGGAGTGGGCTGGGGGAGTTGATCCCCGCTGGTTTGGGGGGCGGGCTCCCCAGGGGGTCCAATGGGCAGCGCTTGGGCACAAGCTCCCTGGCTCAGCCTGTGTCTCCCGTCCCCAGAGACGGCCGTGAACATTGGCTACTCCTGCAAGATGCTGACGGATGACATGACCGAGGTGTTCATCGTGACAGGCCACACGGTGCTGGAGGTGCGGGAGGAGCTCAGGTGAGGGCTGGGGGGGGGCTGCGGGAAAGCAGAGCTAGGGCTGGGGGGGGAGCAGGGAGGACACCCCAGCCCGGTCCCTGCGCTGCTGGTGGGAGCCCGGCTAAGCCTTCTCCTCCCCACTAGGAAAGCCCGGGAGAAGATGATGGACTCGTCGCGCTCCATGGGCAATGGCTTCTCCTGCCAGGAGAAACTCTCCTCTTCCTCGTCTGCTTCCCGGCTCGCCTCAGTGCTGGAGGCCATTGCGGGCGAGTACGCCCTGGTCATCAATGGCCACAGCCTGGTAAGGGGTGTGACGACACTTGGCCAGGCCGGGTGGGGAGGGGAGTGGTGTTACTGAGGGCGAACTCCCCACTCCCCTTCCAGTACCCCTCAGTCCTGACCCGCAGCCCCCTGGCTTCCTCCTACTCTACTGCCAGCTCTGCCGGTGCCCCCTGTCCCAACCGGTAACCCCCTGCCATTCTCTCCCTCGGTGCTCCTTGCCGTCCTTGATTGCCCTCAATGCTGGGTGTCCCTGCTGGGCTCAGGTCACACCCCGGGCCTCATCCCCCATGAGCTTACCCATCCGTGCCCCTCCCCACAGGCCCACGCGTTGGAGGCCGACATGGAGCTGGAGTTCCTGGAGACAGCCTGTGCCTGCAAGGCCGTGATCTGCTGCCGCGTCACCCCGCTGCAGAAGGCCCAGGTGGTGGAGCTGGTGAAGAAGTACAAGAAGGCCGTGACGCTGGCCATCGGGGACGGCGCCAACGACGTCAGCATGATCAAGAGTGAGCGCTGGGGGCGTGCTGGCCGGGGGGGCGGCTCTGCCTGCGGGGCCGGGCTGGGGGTGGGAGGGGAGCACCGGTTTCCCACTGCAGGGGGTTGTGTGGGGCTGGGCACAAGCTGCTGCGGCCAGGGCTGCTCTGAGTTCCCTGCTGACCCACACATCTCTTCCCCCAACAGCTGCCCACATTGGCGTGGGCATCAGCGGGCAGGAGGGCATCCAGGCCGTGCTGGCCTCCGACTATTCCTTCTCCCAGTTCAAGTTCCTGCAGCGCCTCCTGCTGGTGCACGGCCGCTGGTCCTACCTGCGCATGTGCAAGTTCCTCTGCTACTTCTTCTACAAGAACTTCGCCTTCACCATGGTCCATTTCTGGTTCGGGTTCTTCTGCGGCTTCTCGGCCCAGGTGCGGTGCCAGGCTGCTGGGCCCTGGACAGGCCGGCTGAAGCCTCCTGCGGCTGGGGGAGCAGGGTTACCCGGGGCCGTGGGGCTTCCCTCCAGGCTGTGCCTGCTGGATTGGGCCCCAGCCGGCACCCAGGGGCCCAGCCAGGATCAGGGCCCTGCCGTGCCGGCTGCTGCGTGGACACAGGGAGGGAGGGGCCCTGCCCTGCAGTTCCCCGTGTGCAGGGTGATGACGGGGGAGGGCTGCGTTGGGGCCTCGAGCACCCAGCCTGTCTCTGCCGTGTGACTGCGGCCCAGGGCTGGGCTCAGAGAGCTGGGCTCTGCCGTGGCTGCATCCTCCCTGCCTTGCTGGAAGAGCTTGGAGGATGCCCAGGCAGGACTGGCAGGCCCCAGGTGAGCTCCCTTCTGGCCACCCTGCCCGGGCCTGATTCATTGGCCGGGGGCAGAGAACCAGGCTGGTCGTCGGGTCCTTCAGCGCTTGTGGATGGCCGGGGGGAGCATAGAGCTGGGGGGAAGCACGTCTGGCTGGGGGAGCACAGAGCCGGGGGGTGTCTGACAGGGGGGAGCGAGTCGGGGGGGGCACATGTGTCTCCGAGACAGGCAAGTGAGTGCCTTGTCCATTCCTGCATGCAGTGGGGCAGGGGGTGTTTTCCCCGCCCCCCTGCCCTGACCTCCCCTCTCTCGACAGACGGTCTATGACCAGTACTTCATCACCCTGTACAACATTGTCTACACCTCGCTGCCCGTGCTCGCAATGGGGGTGTTCGACCAGGTATGGTGGGGCTGGGGCAGGGTGGAGATCTGCTCCTGCTGGGGTGGCTGGGGGGGCCCAGCCTCACTCCTGTGCTCCTGGAGCCCCCACCCTGCAGAGGGGCCTCAGGCGGGGAGAGAGGGAATTCTGTGGGGGCCGCTTGGAGGGGCCGCAGCAGCAGGAGGCTGGCTGGGGGTCCCCCGTCTCCGGGGCCCTGGGCACTGCAGGGCCCTAACCCAGCTGGGTGGGGTCAGGGCGAGCCCTCCCCTCCCCCCCACCATGTGACTCGTCTGCCCTGCTGGGACCCCTCCTCAGAGGCAAGAGGTGGGCTCTGTCCCTGGCCTGTCCCTTCCCTGCAGGGGGCTGCTCCTGGGCGCGGGGACCCCAGGCTCACCCCTGCCATGCCCCCCCCTCACAGGACGTGACGGAGCAGCGCAGCATGGAGTACCCCAAGCTCTACGAGCCGGGCCAGCTCAACCTGCTCTTCAACAAGCGGGAGTTCTTCATCTGCATCGCCCAGGGCATCTACACCTCCGTCCTCATGTTCTTCATCCCCTACGGCGTCTTCGCCGACGCTACCCGCGACGACGGTGCCCAGCTGGCCGACTACCAGTCCTTCGCTGTCACCGTGGCAACCTCCCTGGTGATCGTGGTCAGCGTGCAGGTGGGCGGCCCCCGTCCAGCCCCGGCTCGTGTATCCTGGTCCCGCAGGCCCCGGGACCCAGCGTGCGGAGCCGGCGTTCGGCTCTGCATCTGGCCTCAGCGCAGGGGGCTGGACTCCCTGACCTCGCGGGTCCCTTCCAGCCCCACGTTTCTCGCGGGTCCCATACGGGGTCAGGTAGCCCAGGAAGTGAAGCAGCCTGGATCTAAGCTGTTGATGAGGTGGCTGCATCTTGGCGCTGGGCGGAGTGCGTGGCGCTCAGCCCTGAGAAGGGCGGTGGGCCAATGCGATGTGGTTTGGGATGCTGGGGGACTGAGGGCACTGCCCCGGGGCTGCCCATCGGCTCTCTCTGCCTGGCTCGGCAGCCTGTCTGCGCTCCCCCCTGAGCTCTTCCCTCTTCCCCCAGATTGGGCTGGACACGGGGTTCTGGACGGCCATCAACCACTTCTTCATCTGGGGCAGCCTGGCTGTGTACTTCGCCATCCTCTTCGCCATGCACAGCGACGGCCTCTTCCAGATGTTCCCCAACCAGTTCCGCTTCGTGGGTGAGTCCAAGCAGCTGCATTTGCCTGGTGCTGGGTGCCCAAGGCGGGCCGACCGGTCCCCGAGATCCCCGCGATGCCAGGGCCTGACTGCATGAGACATGCCCTGGTGACTGTGCCCCATGCTGCAGGGGAAGGTGGAACAACCCCCCAAGGTGCCTGCCGATCTGGCCTGGGGGGAAATTCACTCCTGACCCCACTGCGGGGCTCCCCAAGGCGGGCGAGAGCAGGTTTCTAGTGGGGCAGTGGCAAGGTTGCTGGGGAGCCGTTACGGAGTCCCTGGCGATGCTCTGGACCTGCTCCCTATGAAGCCAGTCAGGACTCTGGGGAAGTCTCTCTGTGAGCAGCCTGTCCCCAGGGCAAGCAGCCCACACAGCTTCCACTTTCCTGGGTCTGACCTTGGAGCATTCGGCCTCCTCTGCCCCTCCGGGCGCTTCCCACAGCGAGTCCGCTCATGCGGGGCTCCTGGGGAAGCCAGAGGGTTCTGCCCCCCAACTCCGCAGTGAGACTTGACTCTCAGCCAGCCAGTAAAACAGAGGGTTTATTAGACGACAGTGTCACGGAGTCCCCGGGCGATGCTCTGGAACTGCTCCCCATGAAGCCAGTCAGGACTCTGGGGCAGTCGCCTTTCTGTGAGCAGCCTGTCTTCAGGACACACAGCTCACACAGCTTCCACCTTCCTGGGTCTGACCTCGGAGCATTCAGCATCCTCTGCCCCTCCGTGCGCTTCCCCCCAGCGAGTCCGCTCAGGCGGGGCTCCTGGGGAAGCCAGAGGGTCCTGCACCCCAACTTCGCAGTCAGACGTGACTCTCAGCCAGCCAGTAAAACAGAAGGTTTATTAGACGACAGGAACGTGGTCTAAAACAGAGCTTGCAGGTGCAGAGAACGGGACCCCTCAGCTGGGTCCATTTTGGGGGGCAGTGAGCCAGACAACCACGTCTGCACTTCACTCCATGTCCCAGCCAGCCCCCAACTGAAACCCCCTCCAGCCCCTCCTCCTCTGGGCTTTGTTCCTTTCCCGGGCCAGGAGGTCACCTTTTTCCTTTGTTCTCCAACCCTTCAGCTCTCACCTTGCAGGGGGGGAAGGGCCCAGGCCATCAGTTGCCAGGAAACAGGGTGTCGGCCATTCTCTGTGTCCAGACCCCTTCACACACCTGCCCTCTAGGGCTCTGCAATGATCATACACCCTTACTCCACCCCCTAGATACTTAAGAACTGCCTAGGGGAAACTGAGGCACCCCCACACTATTCAGAGGAAACATTAAGAACAGTCCCACTTCGTCACAGACAGGAACAGGGTCTAAACCAGAGCTTGTAGGTGCAGAGAACAGGACCCCTCAGCCGGGTCCATTTTGGGGGGCAGTGAGCCAGACAACCCCATCTGCCCTTCACTCCATGTCCCAGCCAGACCCAAACTGAAACTCCCTCCAGCCCCTCCTCCTCTGGGCTTTGTCCCTTTCCCGGGCCAGGAGATCACCAGATTCCTTTGTTCTCCAGCCCTTTAGCTCTCACCTTGCAGGGGGGAAGGGCCCAGGCCATCAGTGGCCAGGAAACAGGGTGTCGGCCATTCTCTCTGTCCAGACCCCTGCACACATCTGCCCTCTAGGGCTCTGCAGTGATCATACCCCCTTATCCCATCCCCTAGATACTTAAGAACTGCCTAGGGGAAACTGAGGCACCCCCACACTATTCAGAGGAAACATTAAGAACATTCCCACTTCGTCACAGGAGCCCCATCCCCCTCCCGATCAGAGCCCCCTGTGAACTCTGCTGTTCTCCCTGCAACACGCCTGATTCCCGGGGGCCGGGAGGAGACCGGTGACAGCCTCATTTCTCTGCTGCCTCCTGCACCCCACTCCTGGTGCTGCTCCCACCTGCCTGGCTCTCAGGTCTCTCCCCCTTCTGCTGCCCAGGTAATGCCCAGAACACGCTGGCCCAGCCCACGGTCTGGCTCACCATCACCCTCACCACCGTGGTCTGCATAATGCCAGTCGTGGCCTTCCGATTCCTCAAGCTGGACCTGAAGCCTGAGCTGTCGGACACGGTGAGTGCGTGCGGCCAAGCCGGGGCCCCTGCGCATCCCCCAGCGCGGAGCAGGCCCCCCCCCAGGGATCGGACGTCTCTCACCCCCAGCCCCCCATGCTCAGCTGAGGGCAAGGGGGCTGCCCCGCAGCGCCCCCTCTGACCAGTGCCGGGAAAGGCCTTGCCATGGAGCAGGGGGCCGGATCCATCTCCACTCGGCCAGGGTTGTGTGGGGAGTTGTCTGCCCCCAGTAATCTCACCTCCCCCGCAGGTTACTGCCCCCTCACTGGAACGTCTCCATCGCTTTGGCCCCTGCCCCCGTCTCTGACCAGCTCCTTCTGCAGAGCTGCTGGGGGGTCTCGGGCAGGCTTTTTACGGCCCCCATTCACCCTGGCTGGGCCTTCGCCTCTGCCTGGCCCCCTGCAGTCTCACAAGAGGGCGGGTTGTGGGGTCTTTGGCTGGGCTCCTCACTCTGCCCCCCCCCAGGTGCGCTACACCCAGCTGGTGCGGAAGAAGCAACGGACACAGCACCGCTGCATGCGGCGGGTGGGGCGTGCCGGCTCGCGGCGCTCCGGCTACGCCTTCTCCCACCAGGAGGGCTTCGGCGAGCTCATCATGTCGGGCAAGAACATGCCGCTCAGCTCCCTGGCGCTCTCCAGCTTCACCGCCCGCTCCAGCTCCAGCTGGATCGAGACCCTCCGCAAGAAGAAGGGCGGGGACAGCACCGCCAGCAGCCCCAGCGGGGGGGCCGACAAGCCGCTCAAGGGGTGAGGCTGGGGGGCTCCGATTCTTACCCCCGCCGGGGGCTGGGCGGCCCGTCAGCGCCCCCGGCTGTTCCCACCGCGGACCGTGGCTGGCTGCTGTGGGTGCTGCTCGCTTGGGAGACCCCCCCCCATGGCAAGGGGGAGGAGCGCCCCGGGAGGCTCTCCAGGTGCTGAGGTTTGGAGGCGGAATCTGGACCACAACCAACCGTGTAACCAAAAATCCCCCCACCCAGAGGGACAGGCGGCTCCCCCATCCGGAGCCCAGAGCCTGCAGTGTCTTTAATCGGGACCTCCACCCAGCCGGAGCGGACAGCTACCCTGAGTCACGCGCGAATGTAACGTGCTGGAGACACGGGGAGGGCCAGGCCTGGCAGGGGGCAGCTGGGCCTGGCAGCGCGTGCCCCCCCTCCGCCACACGTGTCTTTTTTATAGATATAAAATGAGAAAAACAGCAACCAACGGAGCCCCCACGTTTACGAAGTGACTCTTCTCTGTCCCCGCTGGCACTGGCTGCTCCTGGGGAGGAGCTGGCTGAGCAGAGACGGGCACAGACGTGCTCCCCACGCGAGCCGTGACACTTCCAGGGCTGCGTGGGCGCCCCAGGAGGGCGGGCTATGGCCTTGGCCTTCTCCTGCAGCAGGGCAGGGGTGGGGTGGGGAGAGGGATGCCCAGGCATGGAGGAGTTATGGGTCCTGCCCTCCCTGGGGCAGGGCAAATGCTGTAGCAAGGCTGGGCCCTCTCCTCTGCCCGGCTGGTTTCTACACATGGTGAAACCCTACGTGGCTGGGCGGAGACCCGACCCCCTGGGTGCTGCGCCCAGTCAGTGCCCACCCCGGGGCTGGAGGGTTGTGGCACCTGGAGCCGAGGCCAGAGCCGGGGAGGAAACCGGGCCCTAGGGAGCTGTTACAGACCAGAGCAAAACCGCGGTGGAAAGGGCCAGGAAACACCCAGCGTCTGACCTGAGCCGGGCTCTGGGGGTTCCTGGCTGCAGGGGCAGCCCTAAGGTACTCCCAGCTTGGGGGTGGGGGGCGCAGCCGCAGGGCTTTTGGCTGCTAGTTCACCCCCCCTACCCCGACAGCTGGTGGAGCTTGGCTCTGGCCTCGTGCAACCTCTGCCCAGGTCCTGGGACCAGCCCAGCTGATGGATTTGAAAGGGGAACCAGCCCCCCCCCCCCCAACTCCTTTCTTTTCTGCGTGCCAGAGGCTTAGGCAAGGGGCTGGGTCCTGGGGTCAGCATTGTTGACGGGCTGATTGTGATTCATTCCCCGCAACAGGGAGCCTTTCACAATCGTCTGGGTGTTTTGGGCTCTGTTTCCCTTCCCCTCTGTGCTGGGAATGGGCAGGGTCCCGGGGGGTGGGTCTCCTGAGCCACCTTCCTTGGGGCTCCCCAGCCCCTCCACCTCCCATCCACGCTCCCCTGGGGAAGCGTCCAGCCTGCTGGCTGCTCCCTCGTGCCGCGCTGGCAGGTGCATGGCCCTTCTCTTGCACACGTATTCGTAGCTCATCTCTGCACGCTTCTTGTGATGCATTCCTCATGTCCTTTGCACGGCCCCTACCCACCGGTACTACCCCCGGCACGCCTGGTACGCACACTGCCCGCGCCCGGCTCACTGCGGTCAGTACCCCCAGCTGCTCTGGATCCCTCGGAGGTTGAGTTGCTTGAGGCTGCAGGATGTAGCAGACCCGGGGCTGTGGGCAGGCTGGGAAAGGTCCCAGGGCCCCCAGTGTGGGGATCAGCTCAGGTGTCAGCCCCCAGCGAGGTGGGATCCAGCTGGAGGCAGAGGGGTTCTCCCGTACTGCTCCTGGACACCCCCTGGGGAGGGTCAGTCGGGGGGGGGGGGGGGAGGCACAATGGGCCCAGGCCAGTCTTGTGCAGGGCATGCCTCCTGATCCACCCCTCTTCCCTCCCCTTGATCCATGTCTGTCCAGGGTGCCAAATAAGATGGGTGTGGGGGGAGGGAGGACCCAGTGTTCACTCCCCCCCGTCCCATTCTGCCTTTGAATGGGAGGGGCTTTACCAGCCAGGGGCAGGTTCGGGTGGGTGCTGTCACAGTTTCAGCCATTCTCTCCCCACCCGCAGCCGCTGGGGTTGACTACAGAGCTCGACCCACTTGACGAAGGAACAGTGTGCTTGGAGCGGGGGAGTGGGGTCTGGGACCCAGGACGACTGGGTTCTATTCCCAGTTGTGACACTGACACCCTGTGACTGGCTCTGTGCCTCAGTTTCCCCACCCCCCACCTCCCGTGAAGTGCTAGAGTCTCCTGGGGGGCTGGGTTCTGGAAGGTCGAGGCAGCTTCGGGCATTGCTGTGGTTGTGTTAAGCCCTTCTGGGAAGGGGCGAGGGCTGGCGAGGCCTGGCTGGGGGAGGGCGTGGCCCCCCGTGTCTGACTTTTATACCAAAGAGGAACTGTCTGTTTGGGAGCTGGCTGGGTGCGCGTGTGCTAGAGTATCTATTTTTGGTTTTTTCTGTTTGTTTGGTGGGGGGAGGTGGCGTGGGCCGGGCCGAGGAGCAGTCGGTATAATTTATTACACATTTCTATACTTGCAGAATTGTATCATTTTATGGGTATAAAGAGAGAAAAAAAAATAGCCTTTTATAAAAACGTCTCTTTCTGAGATCGTCTCACGTAGCCTCTGTTTTCTGCTGGGAAAGGGGAGAGGGCCAAGGCCCTGCCTGTGCCAGAGGGCTGGAGCTTGCCCCCAACTCCTCCAGCCCTGCCTCCGGGCCACCCATCACATCCACGCCCCTGGGTGCTCTGCAGACAACGGACCAGATTCTGCACAACGCTCGTTTGTTGTGTCTCCATGTAAACCCTGCACACGCCGGGCTCTGCAGTGCGAACACCCCTCTGGCTGCTGAAAAGCTGAATTCTGTGTGTGTTTGCTGCTCGCACACACAAACTGGGGCCCTGAGCGAGGGCATGGGCCAGTTCACACCTTGTGGAGCTGCTGTTTTAGGCTCTCTGTAAACTCAGGCAGGCATCAGCTACACTGTCATGGCATCTGCACAGCCGAGAAACTTCTTGTTTTTGGTAATGCAGCAGCTGTGATGCTGGGGCGAGGGCTTGAGTCTGTGTCTGTGGAATCCAAGGGCCCTGTTTGTATCGGGAGCAGGGCGCATGGAGCCTCCGCCCCTGCCCAGCATTAGCCCAGCTCAGGGTTCTGTTCTCCGTGGACAGCCAAGGCAGGATCCTCCTCTCTGTTCTGCAGCCAGGACCTAAGCTGGGGAGCGTGACGCTGAGAGTCAGGTGGGGGAGTCCGTGGCAGAGCTGGGTGTGGAATCCAGGTACCCACGGGGCTCAGCCTGGGGTGTTTACCCAACAGCTCCCTTGTGGGGCAGGCTCTGGATTTTAACTCTGTGTTACTGGGGGAACCTGTCAGCTCAGTTCTAGCCCCCCTTTTGTTTAAAGAGCAAAAGTTCCCCCAAACCTGAGCCCTTCACTGCATAGGAGAATGCACCATCCGCCTGCTCAGAGCTGCCCTCTTCGAGCCCCAACTGGCCTTTCAGGTCAGCTTTGGGCCCCCTTCCCTGGAGATACAAGCTAGCTCCCTAGGTGCTTAAAGCAGCATAGCTGTCGCTTTGAACCCCCCCCTGTGATGAAGCGGGACTGTTCTTAATGTTTCCTCTGAATAGTGTGGGGGTGCCTCAGTTTCCCCTAGGCAGTTCTTAAGTATCTAGGGGGTGGGATAAGGGGGTATGATCATTGCAGAGCCCTAGAGGGCAGGTGTGTGCAGGTGTCTGGACACAGAGAATGGCCGACACCCTGTTTCCTGGCCACTGATGGCCTGGGCCCTTCCCCCCACAAAGGTGAGAGCTGAAGGGTTGGAGAACAAAGGAATCAGGTGACCTACTGGCCCGGGAAAGGGACAAAGCCCAGAGGAGGAGGGGCTGGAGAGGGAGTCATTTTGGAGCTGGCTGGGGACGTGGAGTGAAGGGCAGACGGGGTTGTCTGGCTCACTGCCCCCCAAAGTGGACCCAGCTGAGGGATCCGGTTCTCTGCACCTACAAACTCTGTGTTAGACCATGTTCCTGTCGTCTAATAAACCCTCTGTTTTACTGCCTGGCTGAGAGTCACGTCTGACTGCGGAGTTGGGGGGCAGGACCCTCTGGCTTCCCCAGGACCCCGCCTGGGCGGACTGGCTGGGGGAAGCGCACGGAGGGGCAGAGGATGCTGAATGCTCCGAGGTCAGACCCAGGAAGGTGGAGCCGGGTGAGCTGTGTGTCCTGCAGACAGGCTGCTCCCAGAGTGAAGACTTCCCCAGAGTCCTGCCTGGCTTTGTGGGGAGCAGGTCCAGAGCATCACCCGGGGACTCCGGGACACCCCCAGCCCCCCCAGCTGCATGGGCATCACCTGAGGTCGGGACTTCATGCACTTTATTTTAAATTCCAAATTCTTCCTGCTTTGCGGGTGACAGCTAAATAGCGCCGACTTGGACAGGCACAGGAAAGGCAGAGAGGCCCCCCCCTCGCTCCCCGGCCAGCCCTGCAGGGCAAGTTCCCATGACCAGTGTTTAGCCTGAACTGGCCCAAGGGACTGGGCCTATCTTCTAAACGCCCCTGGGGCCCAGTGCTCGGCTGCTGTAACACCCCTGCTCTGCACCGTGGCTGCTTTACACCAGCTGAGAAGTTGGCCCATGAGCTCCAGGGACCCCCCCCCCGGTATTCTGGGAGGGTTTTTCATTTCCTCCCTCACAACCAGTGGTGGGGTCCTGAGGTGGCATGGAGCAGCGGCTGGCTCTTGCTCACATGCTCAGGGTCCCACTGAGGGCCAGGGGTGGGGGTGGGGAGGAATTGCCACCCGGGTCACTGGCAGGATTATCGGGGTGTCTCACTTCATTTCTGTGCCACTGTGGGGCCTCGGGGCCTCCCACTCCCTGGCACGTGCTAATCTGGGCTCCTGTGATAGCCGGTCCCTGCTGGTGGCTGGGTTTAGTGTGGAGCTGTGGGGGTCTCTTCTGGCCCTAAACTCTCTGACTCTGTCCTGTAACACCCCCCCTCGCCCCCGGCCCCCAGCATGTGCTTGCTTCCTGGCACCAAGCTGCTGGAGCGGGGCCCCCACCCGCTCTCCTGCCCGCCCCTGGAAATCAGGAGTTTTACCCCCGTGTGAGCAGGGCAGGGACACAGCCCCGGTCAGGAGGGGGTTAACAGGCCCCAGCTGGAGCGGGAGGGGGCTCACCTTGAACTGGGGGCAGGCCAGGCCTCTGCCTGCATTATGTCCCTCGGCGCTGTCACTGATTAACGAGGCTGGTACGCAAACAGCCGCCCCCTCCCAGCCCTGACCATACCCACAGTGGGGGCATAAGCTGGGTCTCCCCAGTGCCCACTAGGCCAGTGCCAAGGGCTGCTCACGCGTCCCCCCCCCAGGCCGAGTAACCAGTGCTGTACTGGGGGGCAGAGACCTGCCCAAGGCTGGCTGCCAGCGGGATCCCCCATCACACCCACAAAGCTCCCCCTGTCTGGGGGCATCCCAGCCAAACTCTTCAGAGCAGGCCCTAGGAGAGGGGGCTGCCTGTTACCCCACTCCCTGCCCCCCAGAGGCTCCTAGAACCCAGGAGTCCCGGCTCCCAGCCCTGCCCCCTCTAACCACCGCACCCCACCGGGTCCCAGAGCCCCAGGTAGAACCCAGGAGTCCCGGCTCCCAGCCCCCCCCCTTGACACCACGTCAGCCTGCACCTGGGGGCGGGAGTCGCGCGCGCGGGGGGGGCGTCTCTGCAGGTGCCCCCCACCCTCCCACGCGCTCCGCCCCCCCCGTTGCTCAATCGCCCCTTTCACAATCGCAGCCCCCCCAGTTCCTCAATTGCTGTTCCGCCGCCAGGCGCGCCCCCCGCCCGCCACGTGCCGGGGGAAGCCCCGGGCGGGGGCGGCGCCCGAGCTGCGGGATGCTCGCGGGGGGGCGGACGCCGGCAGCCCCCGGGGCGCAGGAGCATGTGGACGCTCCGGGCCGCCGGGCTGCTCTGCCTGCTCGCCGCCGCCGCGGGGGGGCCCTGCCCGCGACCAGGTGGGTGCGGGGGCCGGGGGGGCGGCTCGCTGCGGGGCGCCTGGCGGGGGGGCGTCGGGCTGCGCCCTCTCCTCCGCGGGGTCCCCTGGAGCCAGGTGAGCAGCCCCGGCCGGCCGGGACCCCGCGGGGAGATCGGGGCTCCGGGCAGCCGCGGGCGGGGGGGTCTCTTTCGCCATGGGGACATTGCAAAGAGTGGGGGGGGAGAGGGGGGTCAGGACTCCTGGGTTCTGCTCCCGGCTCCCGGAGGTGGAGAGGGGGGTCAGGACTCCTGGGTTCTGCTCCCGGCTCCCGGAGGGGGGGATCTGGACTCCTGGGTTCTGTTCCCGGCTCCCGGAGGGGGAGAGGGGGGTCAGGACTCCTGGGTTCTGCTCCCGGCTTCCGGAGGTGGAGAGGGGGGTCAGGACTCCTGGGTTCTGCTCCCGGCTCCCGGAGGGGGGGATCTGGACTCCTGGGTTCTGTTCCCGGCTCCCGGAGGTGGAGAGGGGGGTCAGGACTCCTGGGTTCTGCTCCCGGCTCCCAGAGGCGGCGGGGGGGGGTGTTCCAGGACTCCTGGGTTCTGTTCCCGGAGCGGGGTGTGTGTCTAGGACTCCTGGGTTCTGTTCCCGGAGGGGGGTGTGTGTCCCGGACTCCTGGGTTCGGGTCCCGGCTCCCGGAGGGCGGGGACAGGACTCCTGAGTTCTAACCCAGCTCTGGGAGGGGAGTGGGGTCTGGTGAGTTACAGGGAGGGTGCGGGCTGCGAGCCAGGACTCCTGGGTTCTCTCCGCGCTCCCCGGGGTTGGGGAATGGCAGCGCCTTATTTTCAGTCTGAGCTGAGAAGGGCTGAGATTTATTTGCTCCTTGTTCTTCGCTCCCCCCGCTGTGACTCGGGGGTGAGCGCTGCCCCTCCCCCCTGGCATGCTCCTGCTGGGACCCCCACACAACCTCCTCCTCTGTCCCCTGAATGGCGGGGCCCCACTGGGGGCTCCCCATGGGGCTGGCCACGGGCTCCTGCTCCCCTTCCTGGCCGGAGGTCCCTGGGCTAAGCTGAACTGGAGCTGGGGGAAATGCGGGGGGCTCAGAGGCCCTTAACTCCAGAGCTCCCAGCTGGGGCTGCCTGGGGGCTGGCCCCACTCCTTTGCCTGGTGCCAGGGGCATGGCAGTCTGTGAGCGACCCATGTGCTCTGAGCCCCTGTCCCAGTCTCTTGCAGCTGCCAGGGAGTGGGGGCAGAGGGAGCACCTTGCCCCCAGCCTAGGATTGGGCAGGAGGGGGGACCCCCCGCTGCAAAGGGGGGACCTGGGCCCTTGTGACCTGCAGGCACCACAGGAACTGGAGTGGAGCCCACTGCGGCCTGGGCAGGGGATGTGGGCAGAGGCTGCTGCCGCTCTCATCCTGCCTTCCCCAAAGCCGCACAGACCCCTCCCCCGGGGGCCAGACGGGGGCCTGGGGGGCGCAGAGAACTCTGCACTTGTAGGAGGGTAACTTTGGGTCAGGCCTGGCCTGGTGCCCGTCTGCCTCCCCACTCTCGGCCTGCATGACCCAGCGTCACCCCATGGCCCCCGTCGGCTGCTGCGCCGGGCTCATGAGCAGGGCTCCCAACTGCCCCACATCTGTGGCTGGGATCTGGGGTTCTCCTGTGTGGAGCCTCCGAGCTTCCCTGCTCTGTGTCTGGCCATGGCCACCCAGGGACCAGGCCGGGGCAGCGATGGAGTCGCTCCACACAAAGAGCAATGAGCTGCTGACTCTGGGGAGAGCCAAGTAACGAACCCAGGCGTCCTGCCTCCCAGCCCCCCACTGCTCTCCCCTGGAGGAACTGAAACTTCCCAGCACAATGGGGAAGTGCCCAGGCCTCCTGTGTGCCGATAGCCAAGGGCTGAGTTGCTGTTGCAGGGCAAGTAGGGAGTGGGTCCCTCGGGTGCAGGCCAGGCGGTGCGGAGCTGCCCAGGCCCCCGGCGCTGGGTTTGGCTGGGATCTGAGCAGCCTGCTGCCACGTGCGTCTCCCCTGAGCCAGCAGCCCTCGCACTGTCGCTGGGTATTTATACCCAGGGCGCCCCATGCTGATGGAAGGGTTAACCCACCCGGCGGGGCGGGGCCCCAGCCCAGGAGTCCCAGGTGGGGGGAAAAGCACAGGTCTGGAATTGCCCAGTCGTGGCCTCCAGTCCCCAGGAACTCTGCCCCACAGCCCCTGGGCACGAGCCTGCCAGTTCCAGGGGCGTTGGGGGCCTGGCATAGAGGACCCCCCTGAGGGGTCCTTGAGCCAGGCACTGCGCAGAGCCGCGGAAGCAGATGGCTCCTGCCCCAGAAGCTTCGCCTAAGGAGCTGAGGGAGGTAGGGCGGTTCCCCTGGCCGGACTGTCGGGGAGCTGAGGGCTGGGGAGGTGTCGGAGCTGCCCCAAGGGAGCCTGTGGCAGAACTGGGAACTGAACCCACCTCTCCTGGGTCCCAGCCCAGTGCCTGGTCCCTTCAGCGGAGAGGTGGCCCCCTCCCTTAGCATCTCCCTGAGGTGTCCTATTACCCCCACTTTACTGGGGGGCAGGGGTTGCCCCCCAAGGCTTGGCCCAGATTCGACTCCAGCTCTCCTGGCTCTCAGCCCCATGCATGGGGGGCTGATCCCTGCAGCGCCTGTGACGTGCCCCCGGGATTAGCAGGCAGCTGAGAGGTCCCTGTGCTGAGCCAGACCGTTGCGTAAGTGGGTTCGGGTAGGACTGGCTGTTCCTGGCAGGGCCGTGCGGACGCTGGGCGCTGGGAAACCTGAGTGTTTGCTTTTGTTATTGACGCTTGTGGGTTTGCAAAAATCCCAGCTCCTGTCCTGGCTGGGGGGACGGGGGGAGCTGTCAGCCTCTGACCTTTACAAACCACCTGGCCCAGCCACAATCCATCTGAACCAAACCCAGCTCTGGCCCCATCCCCGGGCCGGTGGTGACCCTGTGCCAGGGGTGGCTTGAGGATTAACCCTTTGAGGCCAGCAGCCCTCCAGGGCCCTGCTGCTGCGTGGCTGCCCTGCTGGCAGGGTCCTGGGTCCCCTGTGATTGCCGTGTACCCTGGCTTTAGGCTCTGGGAGCTGGAGGAGCAGGGATCCCTTGAGTCTGCTCCCCACACCCCAGGAGCCCTGACACCCCTCCTGCAACCGGCTCCGGGCACTCTCAGGCACCTCCTTGCTGCTGGGCACCCAGCTTGCCCAGGGAAATGAGGAGTCCACAGCCCCGTTAACGCACCCCAGGTAGGGCCCAGGCTGGGGCATGGCTGGCCAGACGTCTCAAGCTGTGGCTGGCAAGGGCTGGGAAGGGGGGATCTGATGGTGGTGGGGCCCAGCCGCAGTGCCTTGGAAAGAGGTGGGTGAGGCAGTGACAGCTCAGCCAGGCAGATGCTCGTTCAGGCTTGTCCTCTCCAGCAAATATTGACCCGGGCTGGCTGTCTCCTCCGTCAGGGAGCCCCTCCCGAGTCGTTTCCTAGGAGCCGGGAAGGGGCTGTCAAGTGGCCGAGGCTCTGGCCTCCAGCCTGGCGGTGAGACGGAGGGTCAGCACCACCATGGCACACAGCAGCCAGCGAGACTCCTCTCCTGTCACAGCATCTCCTGGTCAGCTTGTGGCACCCAGGGAAGGTGGCAATCCCCATGGAACAGAAGGGGAAACTGAGGCACAACGAAGTTGTTTGCCTAGGGTCATGCAATGAGTCAGTGGCTCAGCTGGGCATGGAACCCAGAAGTCCTGGTCCCCCCAGCTCTCACCCCTAGACTGCACTCCCTTCCCTCTGCACTAATGGAACTTCCCCTCCTGCAGCCCTCCCGCCTGACACGGTGCTGAGCGCAGTGGGAGCAAATGTCACCCTGCCCTGCCTGCAGTGGCAGCCGGAGCCAAACGGCACCGTCAGCTGGAAGCTGGAGAACCAGGCTGTGAGTTCGGAGCGCGCGGTGCTGGGGGCCAGCCTGCTGCTGCGCCTGGTGCAGGACAGTGACTCGGGCAGATACAGCTGCTATGTGGGCGGCTGCCTGGTGCGCTCGCTGCGGCTGCTGGTGGAAGGTGAGTCGCTCGGGGCGGGGGTGCCTGCTCCAGCGGCCAGGGGGGATGTCCAGATCCACGGGCGCCTGGACTGCGGGGGCCCCCATGCCTGCAGAATGCTGCAGCAGCGTCCGGGCTGCCAGACTCCTCCTGCAGGGTCCAAAGGCAGCACTGGGCGAGTGCCTGGCTGGCGTGGCTGGCCCCCCTTCTGCCCCCTGCCCAGCTCTGCAGCCGCTAGCCCCTGCTCACAGTCCAGGGGCTTCCCTCACCGCTGCTCTTCTGACTCCAGAGCCCCCGGAGCTGCCTGGTTTCTCCTGCTACCGGAGGAGCCATGTCAGGGACGTCCTGTGCGAGTGGCAGCCACGGAGGAGGCCGTCGCCCCGGACCAGGGCCGTGCTGTGGGTGAAGAAGTGGTGAGAGGCCTGGGGGAGCTGGGCCGTGGTCGGGGAGCACCCTGAGGCCCTGCGAGGGGCACCCAGCCCTGGGTAGCTGTTAGCCATGGAGCCAGCTGGGGATGAGAGCCAGGCCAGGGCAGGATTTGGCGTAGATGTAGCCAGCATGGCCGTGCTGCCGATTCCTGGCAGGGTCCCTCCCCGCTCCCCAGCTGCCGGCTCTCTGGGAGCAGAGCTGGGGCCTGCTTTCCTGGCACCAAATCGCCCTCCCCCCTCACTGGGTGCTGCCATCCTGCAGGGCTGGGAGTCGGGACGGTGCTGGACTGGGGGACGCCATGGCAGGGTTGGATGTGGGGATCCCCTGGGGGCTCTCTCCCATGGGCCGAGCCCTGGGCAGCGCTGGTGGGGGGCAGGGGGTGCTGCTGGCCTTCAGATCAGACCCCACGCCAAGGGCCTGACCGGGCCTGCTCAGGAAAGAGCCGTGCACCTCCTTGCAGGCATCCTCCCCCCATCCCCCCATGCTTACACCCTCCCGACTTTCAGTTCCAGACAAGGTCCTTCTCCTCTTCCTGTTCCAAAGCGCGGCCCCGCGGCTGCTCCGCTCCACCCCAGAGTGGCTGCAGAAAGCGCTTGGCCAGGGGCAATGCCCGAGCGTGGCATGAGGCTGCTGTTGCCTGGCTCAGCTGGGGATGTGGCAGCCCGGGGCAGACCCTGCTGTGACTTGGAGCGGATCTTGGGACCCTGGGGAGCTGGGGGGGCAGGGCCCGCTGGCTGTGTGCTGCGCCTGGGGCTGAGCCGTGTCCCCGGCCCCCGGCAGGTTCACCGGGGAGAACGCCACGGAGAAGCGCTGCCGCTACTTCCCCAAAGTGGACAAATTCACGTGCAGGGTCACGGTGCCACCCAGCGAGGACGACACCCTCCTGCTGGTCTCCGTGTCTGTCAGCAACGGGGCGGGGAGCGTGGCCAGCAAGGGCCAGGTCATCTCGGCCAACCGCGTCTGTACGTACGGCTCGCTGCCCTCACCCCCGCTGCCCCTCCTGATGCCCCCCCTTCTCCCCCTGCCTACCCCCCTGCCCCTCCCTGGAGCTCTGCCTGCCGTCCTGCCCGTGCCACCCAGCGAGGACGACACCCTCCTGCTGGTCTCCGTGTCTGTCAGCAACGGGGCGGGGAGCGTGGCCAGCGAGGGCCAGGTCATCTCGGCCAACCGCGTCTGTACGTACGGCTCGCTGCCCTCACCCCCGCTGCCCCTCCTGCTGCCCCTCCTGCTGCCCCCCCCTTCTCCCCCTGCCTACCCCCCTGCCCCTCCCTGGAGCTCTGCCTGCCGTCCTGCCCGTGTTCCGGCCGGGTCTCCCCCCAGGGGCTGCTGGGTGCGGGCTGGTGGGGCAAACGTGCTGCACCAGACCCCCCTGCCATGGCAACCCCCCTCTCCCTGACAGTGAAGCCGGACCCTCCGGTGAACGTGCTGGTGGAGCCGGTGGAGAGAGCGCCCCAGAAACTGCGTGTGAACTGGATGTACCCGCCCTCTTGGGACTCCAGGTTCTACCGGCTGCACTTCCAGGTCCGGTACCGGGCTGAGCGCTCCCAGAGCTACACGGAGGTGAGCCCCCCCGCTCCCCCCGCGCCTGACAGGCCAGCTCCACGCACGCCCCACCCTGCAGCTGCTGGGCAGGACGGGCTCCCATGCCTGGGCCCCTGCCCCCAGAGTTACAGCCTGGGGAGAAGGCCCTGGTGAATTGCGTTTCCCTGTGGACGGGGAGGGTGCTACCCAGCTCCCTGGGGCTGGAAAGGAAGGGGGGACTGTGATGCTTCCCGGGGTACCCAGGGTTCAGACGCACCTTGCTAGCATCATAACACACGTCCTAGACTGAGCCGGAGCTTTACTAATGGGACGTTAGTACGGGGCCAGAAGCGAACGCTGCCCCCCGATCCTCCCAGTGTACTGCTGCTGGGCGTGGCTGGGCTCTTCCATTCCTGCAGCAAGCCCGCTGGCTGTTCCCTGGCTAGCCCGCTACAAGCCCAGAGAGATTCAGACTGCCCTTGGAGCCTTCGTCACTGTGACGAAGTGGGACTGTTCTTAATGTTTCCTCTGAATAGTGTGGGGGTGCCTCAGTTTCCCCCAGTTGTCACGGAGTCCCTGGGCGATGCTCTGGAACTGCTCCCCATGAAGCCAGTCAGGACTCTGGGGCAGTCGCCTTTCTGTGAGCAGCCTGTCTTCAGGACACACAGCTCACCCGGCTTCCACCTTCCTGGGTCTGACCTCGGAGCATTCAGCCTCCTCTGCCCCTCCGTGCGCTTCCCCCCAGCGAGTCCGCTCAGGCGGGGCTCCTGGGGAAGCCAGAGGGTCCTGCCCCCCAACTCCGCAGTCAGACGTGACTCTCAGCCAGCCAGTAAAACAGAAGGTTTATTAAACGACAGGAACATGGTCTAAAACAGAGCTTGCAGGTGCAGAGAATGGGACCCCTCAGCTGGGTCCATTTTGGGGGGCAGTGAGCCAGACAACCACGTCTGCCCTTCACTCCATGTCCCAGCCAGCCCCAAACTGAAAACCCCCTCCAGCCCCTCCTCCTCTGGGCTTTGTTCCTTTCCCGGGCCAGGAGGTCACCTGATTCCTTTGTTCTCCAACCCTTCAGCTCTCACCTTGCAGGGGGGGAAGGGCCCAGGCCATCAGTTGCCAGGAAAGAGGGTGTCGGCCATTCTCTGTGTCCAGACCCCTGCACACACATGCCCTCTAGGGCTCTGCAATGATCATACACCCTTACCCCACCCCCTAGATACTTAAGAACTGCCTAGGGGAAACTGAGGCACCCCCACACTATTCAGTCACAAACCGACCCCCACTGGCTGGGGGGGTCTGCTCCTGTGGGGTCTGTGATCTCGGTTAGCTGGCGTACGCAGCGCGTCTCCTGCCTGCCTGAAGGGAAGACATTCACCACCCGGTGACCTGCTTAAACTCCCAGACCTTACAGACCTCCGGTCTAGGGACCCAGCTCCCCCAGAGGATCCGTGCGCATGTCTCACGGGGGTGGTGACGCCCAGCAGAGACCTCCCCCCTCCACTCTTCGGTGAATTATCCTAGACAACGGACTCGGGGGATCCCTGTAAAACTCTGCACCCCCTGTGCCCTCGGCTAGTTGGCATCACGAGGTTCTGGGGTCACAGGGGAGCTGTGGGAGTCCTGATGCTCATGGTTTAATTCTGCCTGTTGCTTGCAGGCTGACCAGTTAAGAGAAACGTCCCTGGTGATCCATGATGCCTGGCACGGCGAACGGCACATGGTGCAGGTGCGGGGGCTGGAGGAGTTTGGCCATGGCTCGTGGAGTGAGTGGAGCCAGGAGGCCGTGGGCACCCCGTGGGCAGGTAGGACTAAGGGAGATGGGAGGGGAGGGGTCCTCTGGGAGGAGCTGGATCCCTAGACCCCCACCCCCTCGTCCCGATTCCCAGGGCTACTCTCTCACTCTTCCTCTCCTTGGATTGCAGATCCCAACAGCCCCGAGTGGCAGACAGGATCCTACAGCTCGCAGGTAAGGCGGGTGGTGCCGGAGCTGCCTGCCCGTCTGGCCCGTGGGCCCTGGTGGGAGGGTGGATAGGTCTCAGGGCTTAGCACTGTGTGTGCTCCACCCAAGGGCTCTGTGGTCTGGGGGACGGGGGAGCGGGACGGGGGACATGCCGTGCGTTGGGGGGTGTCACGGGCAGGGACGGGGGACATGCTGTGTGTTGAGGGTGTCACGGGCGGGGACGGGGGACCCTCTTGCTAACCCCCCCTCCCCTGTCTCTTTCCTCCAGTTCCCCTCAGATTATGATTTCTACAGCGACACATTCACAGGCCCCCCCGGGCCCTACAGCAGCAACACAGAGGGCACTAATGGTAATGAGATGCCCCCTTGCGTTGTTGGTCTGTCAGGCCCAGGGCTCCCACGCCAGGGACATGTGGGGTGACCCAGAGCCCAGCTGGCAGCATGAGCTGAGCACCCAGACAGAGAGCCCAGTACAGCTGCCTCAGGACGGGCTGATCGGGGCAAAGTGAGCCAGGTGGCAGCCCTATGGGTGGGCCCCAGGCTGGGCCGGTGGCTCAGGTGGTCCCCATCATTCTCCAGGGCTCCCCTGGCCTTTGCAAAGCCCCCGCTGGGAGGTGGCCCAGCAATACCCAGCCCTGCAAAGTGAACAAGGTTGGGGAGGGGGGCGCTGGGCCTTGCCATGTTGGGTAACGGTGCCCCTGTCCCCTCGGTTTGCAGGGGAGGCTCTTGGTGTTGGCGAGCGCTCCACTGTGCCCCTGTACACATTCCTGGTCACTGGAGGGAGCCTGTTCCTGGGCACCGGCCTGCTCGCTGGTATCGTGCTCAGGTGAGACGCGGCCGGGGTGGTGCGGGGGGTGCTGGGTCCCAGGCCCTGGGTGGGGCGATGCTACCGCTGGCCTGCTGGGGAAGCACTGAGGGAGGGACAGTCACTCTCAGCTGGTGCCCCGGGCCAAGCAGTGCATGCCTGGGTCGGATCTGTTACTCCGGTGTGAGTCTGGAGTGACTCTCAGGGCAGGACAGGGTCTGGCCTGCTGGGCTCAGCCCAGTTCCTGCCGGACTTACCCCTGCGGAGCCAAGAGAGGCCGTCTCCATAGAGCAGTCTGGGGCCTTCTGGCGAACAGGAAAGGGCCCCTGCCCCTTATATGGGTGCCCACTGCTGGCCTGGGCAGCTCTCTGGGAGTCAGATCCTGGTCTCCCTCCAGCCGAGAGATGCCCCTGAGGCCCCGGCAGGGCTGGGAGAGCCCCCTCCAGCCCCGCTCTGTTTCTCTGCAGTCCAGCAGCATGGACTCCTGCTTGGCTCTCCGCCGGGGTCCTTTCCTGAGGGCTGTGGGCTGCCTTAGCTGATCTTTGTGTGCTGGGCAGCCGGGCTTGATCCGTTACAGAGGGGCCCAAGCCCTGCCCCCAGCACGACTCTCCCCCTTCCACTGCAAGTGACTGACCCAAACGGTGTAGTGGGGGGCTCGGGCACACTGCCATGGGAGCAGCGGGGTGCATCTCGCTCTCTGTGGCCCCCCAGCCAGCGCTTGCCTTCAGGTGTGGGGGGGAACAGGACACCCCAGTCACCACCGGCTGTGTTTGCTGCTGGCCCTTGTGCCACGGAGAGCTGCCCTGAATGCCCATCTCACAGGCCATTACTGATGGAGACTCAGTGGGGCTTTGCCCTCTGCCTGCCCCCAGGGAGAGCCATAGGCCTGGGGCAGCCGTGTTGTGGTCCCGGGGCCATGGGCACCCTGCCAATGCTGGCCTGAGTCCCAATCCCGCTGCCAGCAGGAATTGGGGTGTCTGTGGGGCAGGAGCCCCCCAATCTTGGCCCCTTCCTGACCTGCTCTGTGTTCAAGGTACAAGAAGAAATGGAGGAGGGGCTCGCTGGGCCAGGGCAAGGCCAGCGTGGTGGTCCAGCACCCCTTGGTGCTGCTGGCTCCTCCGAGCCCCACGTCCCCGGTAAGCGAAGCCCCGCTCCTCTCCCCTCCGGCGTCACCAGGCAGCGTCGGCTCCACGGGCCCCTTCGAGGTCACCAACATGGATTACCTCCTCGTCCCCCAGTAGCCGGGGAACCTGCCTCGCTGGCCTGCGACACACCAACTGCCCCAGTAGGCGCCAAGCCAGGGGCCCGACCTTGTGGCTCAGCTATAACTAGCCCGGCCCTTAACCATGGCTCTACCTCTGCCCCGGCGGGCTGGGGCCGCTGTGCCAACCGCTTCCGGGCCGCTCTGGGCTCCTGGCGGTTCCAGGGACGCTGCTGGAAGGAGCCAAACCTGCTCTGCCCTCCCCGGGAGATGGACCCGCGCCCACTTGCAGCGATGCTCGGGGCTCAAACTGGCAGCCAAGCAGCTCTCCCACGGTCTCCCCCAAGCAGCCGGAGCCAGTGTTTCCCAGCCCGCCCCGTGGCGGGGTTTGGACAGTCCTTGGGTGTGGGCGGGGCCGGCGCCCCCGCGAGTGACACGGCGTGGAGGGCGTCCAATGAGCCCACTCCACGTGGAAGGTGGCAAGGGCTGGCCCGGCCCCACTGCTGGGAGAGGGGCATTTACCGGTAGAGCCGGGCAAGCTCCAGGCACTGGGCATGCAGGGCACTGCCCCACGGCCAGGCGCTCACCAGGGCCTGAGGGCCAGCAGAGTCTGAGCCAGCACTGCAGCTAGGTGGGAGCAGCTGCCACGGCCTCGGGGGGCAGGGGCACCCAAGCGGCAGACGGACTCAGGGCCTGCCCCGCTCCGGCAGTAGTGGGCCACGCCTGGCCCTCGGCAGCTAGAGTGGGCTCCATCCCACTGCCCCCACCAATTGTACGGGGCTGGCGGTGCCAGGCGCAGCAGCCACAGACGACAGACCCTGCCGCAGGGAGCTCACCGTCTGAATGGACGTGGGGGACAGCGGCTCAGAGTGGGGGGCAGGACGCGCCCGAGCGTCCCCCAGCCGGGCACTGGCAGAACCCAGGCCTCCCCGCCTCCCTGGAGCAGCTTGTGTGGGGCCGTAACAAATGCTCAGTTGGGCGTGTGACTGGCCTCCGCCCCTCCCCGGTGCAGCGCTGGGCATGGGATTCCCCCCCCCCATCAAACTGGTGTTTGTGTTAACAGGGGTTTGTACAGGAAGAACTGTGTGTGTTGGCAAACGTGTGTCCAATAAATGTTTTTTACTGCGTGCACAGGGCTACCGTTGGCCGGGTGGGGGCGTGGGATGGGGGAGCTGCTCTGGGGTGGGTTTGCTCATGGGGTATTAGCCGTACCTGGCGCTGGAGAGGCGTAGGTGGAAGCAGAGCACTAACATGTTCCTCCGTGGCTGGCGAGCCCAGGCCAGAGCCAGGCAGAGAACCCAGGCGTCCTGGCTCTTAAGCCTACAATTTGTTTTGCAAACCTGAGAAAGCAAAACGGGGGCTGCAGCTGGTGAAGGGGACGGGTCCCTGTTGGGGCTGGCCCCTGCCTTAGAGGATGCAGCTGTCTCTCCTGGGGCTGGGGGGCGAAGGCAGCAGGGTCTTGGCCAACTCTTAGCAGCAGCTGGGGGGATGGCAGGGCTCGAGCCCTGGGCACATGGGAGAAGGGATGGGTTCAAAGGGGGAGCGGGGCCCAGGGCTGTGGATTCAAGGGGAGATGTACAGGGCAGGGGCCAGGCTGTGGGCTGAGCCCTGGGCCTCCCTGGGGCTGCTAGCCCCACGGCTGTCTGCGCCCTCTCCGTGTGAGTGGCTGGGGCATCCCCCACCCCCGCCCAGGGCTGTGCAGAGGAAGGTTTGCTGCCTGCTATGTAAATGGCCTACCCTGAAAGTACCTGCCACCATCAGCTCTAGTCTGGGTTTGAGTCAGCCCCTTCCCCCCAGAGCAGCTGGTGGCAGGGCCTGACAGGTGAGCGAGCGTCCCTCTGCCCCCAGGGTGAGAGTCAACACCCTCACCCCGGCGTGCAGGAGCCAGGCCCCCAAGCTGGGGGGAACCAACCTGGGAACCAGCCCACGGGCAGGAAAACACCCCCTGGAGCATGCCCAGGGCTGCTTTTGAAGCCCCCTCCCTGTTCTCTGCCTGGGGGAAGGGGTTCGCCATGGTTCTCATGGAGCCGTTCTGCCACCCTGGCCCCCCAAGAGCAGCAGGAGCTCACACAGCTTCCAGACTTGGTCAGACAGCAGGCGGGGGGCCGGGGACCCATGCTGCTCTTAGGCCTTGTCTACAGGGGGGAAACTGCCCAGCAAAGTGATCCTGGTACGATTCCCACTCTGGGTGGGACAGTCGCTGCTGTTCCAGACCAGAGCCTCCACAAAGGCCGTTGGACCAGAATGGCTAATGGCTAATAGCTAATGGCTAATGGTTCTTCCATAGCAACTCTGCTGGCCCCAGCTGCACAAGGCCTGACCAGAAGTAAAGCCAGATTTACCCCAGGCTAACAGCAGACTCCATCTCAGACCAGCTGTGTGACTTGTCTCTCTCTCACTTCTGGTCACACATTTTATAAGACACAAAGTTCCCCAAGTGCGGCTGAGAGCAGGAAGCTGACTAACCCTGTCTCTGTCACTGAAAAGGGAGAAGGAAAGATTTTTTTTTCCCTTCGTGCTGATGCAAATCAGAAAATCCAAAGCCCAGGGAGCCTTGCCCCTGATTTCAACGGGCTTGGAACCACGCACTTACTGCCACTGCAGCCCTAGTGAGCGTCTCTTCTGCCCAGGGCTCAGCTACACGCACACATACTGGGCAAGGCTTTTCCTTGAAGAGAGAGTTTATTTCCTCCTAGCTCCATGGCTACAAGCAGCCTTGTGCCCGTTCTCACCCGACATTCAGAGAAGTCATAGAACCTTCTTGGGCAACATCATAAATACATTAAAAACAATTAATACAGACAAGCAGCTGGTTAAAGACACAGTCTCCAAAAACCAAATGTCGAACACTAGCTAGCGATCCACACGTGGCACAGGGCTCAGCTACCTGCTGAACCAAACAACGCATGATGACCAGCCGGGATGACCTGCCCGTCACTTGCCCTGTCCTAAAAATAAAGTGGCCATACGCACACCGGGAGCGTCGGTCCAGCTGGATGCTGCGTGCACCTTCTACCCGGATGCCCCGGGACAACGGCTAGACCAAGCAGCAGCCTGGCTTGCGCTGGGAAGGGGATTCAATTCCTTCAGTGGGGCAAAGGCACTCAGGGCTTGAGCCAATGCACATGTCAACCCCACGCCATCCGCACCCCTCCCGCGAGGGTGCTGGCACAGGGTCAATGGAGCGGAGCTAACCCTGCATTGAGGCCACAGCTGGCCAGCCGGGTCTCCGGCCACGCTCCAGCAGGGAGAATCGGCAACCAAGGGGTGAGTAACATTTTCCTTCCTTGCCTGGTCCCACCCTGTAATGCAGAGTCCTCGCCACACGGTGGCAGCATTGTCCCAACCACTAACTGGCCCCTTTCTGGTCTCTGCCCACCCAAGGGTGCAGCAGAGGAGGCCCTGGCCCTGGGTAGGGGGCAGAGCAGTGGGGAGGGGGTGGCCTCCGTAGGAGTTGGGGCTCTGCTGGCAGTTTGCGTCCCCTCCATTACAAACCCCTGCCAGGTGCCAAGTCAGCAAAGCAGGTGCTGACCTGAGCCCCGGCCAGCGACGCCCCGGGGCTTAGCCACATGCTCAGGGGCTTTGCTGACCAGGCCCCCTTATGGGGAGGGAATCACCTGACTCAGGCTGGGGCCGAGCAGAGCCATGGTGCTGCTCTACCCACCTCAGGGCAGTCGAACCGCACAACCCCCTAGCCTGGGGTAACAGGCTGTGTCACACTAGCTAGGCCTCACCCGGCTGGGATCAGGAGCACCCTTAGTGCAGGGCAGCTGGGTGCCCACCCTGGGGGCTGTGCTGGTGTAGTCCTGTCCCAGCTGCCGTATCTACCCCACAGGGAACCCCATGAACGCAACGAACACGTGCTGTCAAATATACCAGTCACAAACTGTGGGGGGAGAGGGGGAGGGATCAGGCTGAAGTTGGGCCCCCAGGGCCACCTGAGAAATTCTGCTCTCTCCTTTCTCCACTCCAGTAAGCCCAGGGGTCACTTACCCCTAGCAGCCCTGGCCTCATCAGACAGAAGAGAGACTTTCATGCTGGCAGTGAGGAAATCCAGCCATCTGCCAGGACCCGTCCGTCCTTCATGCCCACTTCGAGGTCTGGCGCAGGCTGCTCTGCACCAGGATGAATTTCACCTCTCTCCCCCTGGCAGCGCGGCCGTCCCACCGTGCACAGGCTGGTTGTGACGGGAGGGTTGCTGGAGCCCTTTTTTAAAAACACACTTGCACCATCAATTTGTTTTCAGAGGGAGAAAGCTAGATGCAGGCGCTGCCAGGATGGCTGCCGGCCGCCCCGTCAGTTATGCCCCAAAGGAGCAGTCAGGTGTTTAGAGCCTGGAGAGGCAACGGGCACAGGTTACCAGGAATAGGTAACGACGTGTGCCCCCATTCCATTAGGCAAGTCCTCGTTACGGCACTGCCAGAAGTATGGGCAGGCAGGCCCCTGGGAACGGGCCCAAGGGCACCCGGAAGAACCCCTCTGTCAACTGCTGCTCCCCCCAGAGGGCATGTAAAGCACCACAGTCCGAGCGGGAGTTACTTAATTCCAAGCTGGCACTCAGCACAAGTAATTAACCTATTGGGACTTGAAAGCATGTCAGAAAAATGCCCTTCCTGCCACCTGGAGCAAGACGCCCACACGCCCCCGCCGGCAGGTGGGAACGCACTCCGTCGGGCACTACCCGAACACAGAGGTTGCCCTCCGTTCCTACCGCCACAGGGCGTTTGGCCCTGTCTTTGGGCTACACCAGGGCAGGACAGACCGGAGAGAAGAGAAGGCATGGAGGGCGGAATGAGCTGGCAGTGGAGGGTCACAAGGATGCTCACAGCAGGGAGACACCTTGCGATTGAGTCAACCATCTTGGCCTGGACAGGAAGCACTGGGGCAAAGGGAGAGTCTAGGGAAGCAGAATGGCTGCCCAGGGTGCCAGGCCCCAGCTGCCCACAACCGTCCGAGACCCCAGGAAGCCAAAGGGGATGTCACCCTCTCAGACAGCGGCTCTGGCTTGGCCCGGGAGGCAGGAGTCAGCAGGGGAGGAGCTCTGGCCTGTGGCAGGTCAGGCAGGTCAGCCCGGAGGAGCCAAATGGCCCCTCTGGCCTTAAGGGCATTGAGACCAGGACCAGCTGCCCAGGGTCATGCTGACTGACAGTCCCAGGCAGCACGGGGTCACCTGAGGCTGGGGCACCTCCCCGCGGGGCAGGCCATTGGGAGACAGGCTAGTGATCCCTACATCCCTTTATACCGGCACCAAAGCCTGGCAGCTCCGGCTCCATGCAGGGCCAAGGGGGTTCTCCATGGGGCAGTGTTCCCAGGCTGTTCCCCCGGACGGAACAAGCTCAGCCGTGCTGGTGAGCAGGGCCTTCGACTCTGTCCAGAGCGGGCCCCGGAGAGCCTGCCGCTGCTGCGATGCACCTGGCTCCACGCGCGCGCCCGCCTGCCCGGCCCTCTGGCCGCCCCGATGTCCATGGCGAAGGCCCAGGCAGCTGGCTGGGCGCAGCCGCGCTAATGCAGCTTGCTGTGTACAGGGTGCAGCAGGGTCATGTGCTCCGCCCCTTTGAAGGGCAGCTTCTCGGTGGAGTAGTGATGCACCACCTCGGGGACGCTGCCGAAGACGCCGCTGGTCTGGCTCAGCGTGTACTTGTTGTCCTTGGTCTGGGCCACGAGGATGTGGACACATCCCTGACTGGTCCTGCAGCAAAGCCACGGGGTGGGGGGAGATCAGCCCTGCCCATGGGGAGCGACCGCAGCCGGGGTCCCTGGGCCCTGCGTGCTGCAGTCCTCACTCTAGCTCCTCCCGTCCCAGACCTCCCAGCACTTCAGGTGTGAAACCTCGCAAGGCCCGAGCAGCTTCGTTATCCCCACTGTGCAGAGGGGAAACTGAGGCTCAGGGAGGCTGGGCCTCAGCAAGTTAGTGGCCGACCCAGGAATAGAACCCAGGAGTCCTGACTCCTAAGCACTTGAACTCACTCCCCCTCCGGAGCCAGGAAGAAAACCCAGGAGGAGTCTTGGCTCCTGACCACCAGACCCCACTCCCCTCCCAGAGCTGTAAATAGAACCCAGGAGTCTGGTCTCCCAGTGCCCTGCTCCCCCCACACTGTGCACTGAAGGGTGACCCCAGAGCAGCAGTGA